TTAATATAATAAAAGTCGTTTTAAAAGAAACTTAATAACTAAAAGTCTAACTCGGCTATAGAGATATATTTAAATATATTAACGAGATCTTATTTAATTATAATTATACTCTAGTCTTAAATAAGTAAGATATTAATAGTATTATTTAATATAATATATTTAAGTACTTTTATAAACCTCGTAAATATAGTAATTAACGAAGTATAGTTATAAAAAGAAAAGATTATAAATTCTTCTCTAATTATTATTATACTTCGAAATAAAATCTAATAAAAGATAAAATAAAGTATTTCAAGGATTTCACATTTTAACCTTATTAGATAATTATTATTCTTCTACTTTTAAAGGTCTTTAGATAATATTTCGAGTACTATAGCGATATTAGAGTAAGATTTATTTAATAATAACTAATTAGGACTTAATAGTCTATTTTAATATCGCGAATAATAATTATAAATAAGATATTAGCGAATATCTAATCGAAGTAATTCTTAAGTTATTTCTTTTAGCTATCTTTTTTTAATAAACTATATCTCTTTAATAAAAGTTTATTTAGCGAGATAAATATATATAAAAATAACTTAATTATCGACTTAAGACTTTTTAATATTAATTATAACTAAGAGATAAGAGAAGATCTTATACTTAGCGAGATAGTATTAATAAAGACTTCGTTAATATAGCTGATAATAGGATATAATAGATTATATATATTATATATATATAGATAGCGATAACTCTAAGCGTTATAGAGTTTATTACGATTAAATTAATTATAGTAGAATAATTAAGAGTTTTAGATATTCTAATAAGAAGATATAGAAGTAATACTATAATATATCTAGAGTAAAGTCTAATTTAGGCGTGAATTATATGATAGATAAGCTCTTAATTAAATCTATAAAGGTCGCTATCTTAAAATTCAATTTTTAAGATAATTATTAAGTATTTGCTATATATAAATATCGTCTTAATAAAGCTAAATTCTATTATAAACGAAGATCTCGTAGAAATAGCGTATTAATTAAAAGATATAGATAGTTAATAGATTAGAAATATAGTAGCGATAATTTAATAAGACTTCTTAAAGAGATAAGATAATTATTTTATAAGTAAAAAAATATATAATTTAACTATAAACCTCGAAGCATTAAAGAAGCTTTTTAAGTTTCTTAGTCTTTTTATCGTTATTAGCGAGGCGATTAATAAAGCTATTAAATAGTTTATTAAGATATTTAATATCGAATATCTTATAATAGATTTATTTAATATATTTTAAATTTATCGCTTTAAAATAAAGAAGAAGAGAGGCTATTATAGGGTTATTATCTTAATATAAAAAGAAGCGATATAATATTACTTCCGTCTTAGACGATATTAGCGTTCTCTATTATAATAAGATTAAAGTTAATAGTCGCCTTTGCCAGCCGACGTTCATACAGGTTGTCTCTTCTTCACGTTCAGCTAAGTCTATTGATCCGCTGCAAGCTCAACGCAAGATTAGCAGATCCCATCACCTTAGCATTTCAAGAATCTCTGCTTCCAACCTAAACTGCGAGTCCTGCTCGCTGAATATAGCGTGCTGCGTGACCCCCCTCGAATCCTCCTGCCTCACAGCTCTAGCTTTGTTCACATAGAAAATGTAGGATGGCAGAAAACTCGTCCCATCAAAACGACAAGTAGGAAATCGCACCGGTACCGAACTCGTACCCTGCGCCGTACTTTCCACCACATGAGTCCCTCTGGTAATGGGATCCGTGAAGATCTGCCTAGGCAGGCGCTGCTCCGACTCGTCTACTCCACTAACGCAGTGATTAGAGAGGGAGATTCCATCATGACTATTCTCATCACAAGCGATTACATACTAGCAATACCTACGGTACTGAAATTCGGGAGCTCGGAAGCAGAAATCACACTTGCAGTCGAGGCACCCCTCCAAACGTGTGTCCCCTTCCGAGATGCATTTTCCACAGTGCATGCACCGCAGGACCGTGAATGCGAGCCATACTGGATTTTCTCCGGGAAATGAAATGAGTGGCATGAGAGCTTCGACTTCAGGATTCGTGGCAAATTGTTCCATTAAATGGGCATAGCACTTTGGCCTTGACAAATCGTTCAGTCGGTATAAGTATCTTTTATTCAGGTCCAAATCGAGGGTGGTATACCGACGTATCCAAGGAATCCGAGCGAGCGAGCGCACAAACCATTCGGCAGGCTTGTTTTGTGGATCATCAAGATAACGAACTTGGTCGGCGCTATAGCGCTTTCTACCCTGCGATGTCTTACATAGGGCACATGTTGTTGATAGACTGCTCTGGGAGATGCCATCCTTGCGGAGGCGGCGAGCAAGGACGTATCGTGCGCAGATGTTAAGGTCCGCGCGGTCGACCTCTATAACCCTGCGAAAGTGGCGATTAACGCTCCGAAGGCATACTCTGGAGACAACGTCAAGATGCACAGTAATGGTAGACAGAATACACGTCGATAGTTGACTTAGAGATCGGTAGCACTTCTCTGGATCCGATAGCGACTTTGGTGCTGATGCGCTCGTTGTTGGTTCGACTAACGTTGATGAAGAAGCATAAGAGACGGTCTCGGCAAATGTCGAAGGATTGTCATGTTGACGGTAACGGCGCTGAACTGTGTCCATTATCAAAGCTGATAGACGAGGTACGCTCACTGTAATGCAAAGCTCATTATCGCTTGAATCTTTGCGACATTGAAGGTGAGACGTATGTCTCTTCACGGAGATAGAACTGTGAAATCTTCATGCCAAGTACTCGATAGAATAGGGTGAAGCTCTGATTGAGCAAGTTTGCTTGCTGACTTTGTGTCCGAGAATCTCAGAGGATCAAGCACCAAGGGGAAAATCCCAACCGGCCACCAGTTGATAAAGAAAATGAAAACGCAACACCATTTACCAGCGCCAATAAATCAAACCTATTACGAATTAAATACTTCTGAACTATATATACGTTAGTTCGTTTTGAGCGAAGAGTTTGTGGTTTGAATCCCTACCTTGTGTTAGACAATGTCGAAGTATCGGCACGATGCTTTGTAATTGCTATCATTAGGCAAAGGCTATAGGTATGCCATTCTTGTCGATATGCTTAGCTGCATATAGAGTACAGAGATTCTCGACTTTTGACACCTGCCTTTGCCTCAACAGCTTCTTCTTGTCCAGCAAGCCTGAACCTCTACGAGATAAACATCCTTCTCCGTTTGTCGAACTCGTTCCTACCTCAACGAAAAAAGCGCGAACTAGACTACGCATGAAGGAGGTAAAGGTCAACGTGGTCGAATGGTTTATTCTGCTGAGCTCGATTATTCAGGCTTTCAACCACCTTCAACTCTTCATCACAAGTCTTTCAGTTGGTCGCCTCTGCTTTAATACTCTTTCGATCTGGGCTCTTCACCTTCTTGATCTTCTCCGTTGTCATTTGACTGGATCGTCCTTTCCCTTGTTCTTACAAAAAGCGCTTCAACTTCTCTTTCCTTATCTAGAAGTCTGATTTTGGTTTCTTCGCGTCGGTCGAGGAACAAAGTGCTCGTTTCTCTTTGTCAATGGTTATCATTATTGAGTCCTGTATATAAGGTAGCAAGAGCAGAAGAATGGTTGGCCGTAACGGGGCAAGACAATGTTTCGGCTGTTTGGAAGTCACAAAGCAGGTGATTGATCTGGCAACAGCGTCAGCCTGCCAGTCTGGTCTACGTAGAAAGTTCCGATCGAGAGTACATAATCAACAAACAGACTAAGAGATCATACTGACGATTAACACCAAGAACATCGAAATGTTTGTCACGTGTGTTATCGTGCTGTTTGTGGGAGTAATGCCTTGGTGTAAGACCATTGCACTGGATGGATGATAAAATGCTGACCTACATGCGTGCTCGTAGCTGCAGTTGCAGACGATACACCATGGCACTATGCTTTGGGAGGGATCTGGGGCCTAATTGCCATGATAATGGCAACACTTGCAGTGCTTGTGGCTGGGCATGCCCTCATCAGCCGAGTCTTGCGCTTCGTTTTCGGCCGTCCCGCTCCTATGTCCACCCTGGACAGTATCCAAGAGAGCCTAGATTGGCGATTTAAAATTGCAATGGCCAGCGATAAGAAATTGGCCCTCTGGCGGCGTGAGGATTGTCGTGCCCGGCTACTAGAAATTGAAAATCGTTTAAACAAGGGGCCATATCGGCCGTGGTACAAGAGGGTCTTGCGCCATCAAACAGCCCTCCTTGGCCCCCCCGCCGTGTCCTCCGCTGCCTGCTCCCCCGCCCCGTCGCCCCCCTCTCCGGCTCCGGCTCCGTCGCCTCCCTCACCGCTTCTCCGGCTCCGGCGCCGACATTCACCTTTCTTCTCGCCACCGCCTTCGTCCACTAAGCCTGGACCTGGACCCCTCCACGACGGACGAACTTGTAGCGTGGCGGCGCCAACTATTTGGGGACGCGGAGACTTAGACAAGGCGGGAATTCCTGGATCGAGGATGTGCGTTTTCTAGGTTACGAGGGCGTGTTGAGGTGAAAAACTTGGGGCATTGAGGGCGAAGACATGTATTGTTGTAGGAAGTAGTTTTACGATGAAACAAGTATGAGTCATGGTCCGCCGCAAGAAATGGTCGTAAAGAATAGCAAGAGCCAGAAGCGCCTTGCGCTCCCGTACAAGCCGATCATTGCTCCTCGTCGGCGTGAGAGCAGCTCAATATAGTCCATCCTAGCCTCTGTCTGACGATTTTTAGTGATGCCCCGCTCGTTCACAAAAAGTATTTTTCCGCTTGACAAGAAGGAAACGAGGGTGTGGATGGGAGAACAACATAACGGATGGACTCAATCGATGCAATAGCATTCTTTTTGGCAGGAGATAAACGTGTGGGTCTACTCAAGAACTTAATATCCAGAAAGATTTTCGTTCAACAATTTCCAAGAGCCACAAAGCCGACATCCCTCTATGAATCAGTTCCAAATTGCCGTCAGCCCTGATTACGTCGCGGACACTACAGGACTCAGCGACGAGACGAATGTTGAGCACGCGACCGTTCCCTCTCTAGCTTCTGCTTTCGTAGTCGTTCCTCAGACGCTGCTGCCGCTGCTGCCTTCTTGGCTTTTTGCTGATCTTTTGCTCTTCGTTGTAAGTAACTCTTTTGTTGACTATCGCTCATTTGGCGCCATTCACTTTCCGAAACACCCGGAGTCCTAATGGCAAATTTGGTCAGCAAAATCGATGGAAGCAAGCATAGTGTAACTACACACGGTGTGAAGTGAAGACTTACCGATCCTTTCGACTAACGGCGGCCTCGTGGTTTCTGGCCTCTTTCGCAACAACATCATTCGCGACTTGCATTAGCGAGCCATCAAGCTTTTGATAACAGCTGTTCAGATTGGCTGTTTGTCTCCTGCCTTTGTCCGACGATATCTCGAGAACCTCTGTGCGCCAAACATACGAATTGAAGTTCTTGACAGCTTCGATCATTTCTGGAGAAATTTCTTTTAACAGTGCGTGGAGAGGAACATGCAACGTGGCTTTTGTATGGGCGCTAAGCTTTTGAGCTCCTCGACAGCACTCGCGGCAGGAATATTGTACTTACCCCTTGTATTTCCCATTAGAGCTAGGGCTGTATTTTACGCTCATCAGGTTTCTAGGGACTGTCTCCCGCGTATGCTCTTGAGCTGCGAGCCAACGCTTGGTCGCAGAGATCTCACGTTCAGCGTTCGGGGCTGGGCTTGGAACTTTTGAGTAAGATCTCGAGATGAAGCTGGGAATGGTCGTATTCTGAGAAGATGATAAGGGACCGAATGCCGCTGCGCAAGGACGAAGCATTGTAATTTGGCTGCCCTTGAGGCGATGATGCAGTCGGTAACATTGGATGTTGTTCTTCGGCTCAAGTCAGTCGGTGCGAACTGGCCAGGCAGCTCAGGTCTAGATGTCCAGGCTCCAGCATGCCGACATGTTGTAAATCATCCCTTGCTGGACCGGGTTAGCCGCAGCAATATGCAGCAAGACCATGCAGGCGTCCATTTTCGATGCTGTGTGGGGTCGCATTCCCGCGGAAATAACCTTAGTCAGACCTCCCGGGCCTGTAGATCCTGATTCTGGTGTTGGCGATCCCCTGTCCTCACCCGTTTTATACTCCTCCTGGAAGCGCCATGATCCTGCACGTCGACAATCTGAGTCGGGGGACTTCAAATATGCTATTAACCTAACAACTACCGGGAAAGCTCAGATCGTGGAACCCTGGCCAAGGTCATCTTTTTCCGTTGAAATGCTAAACAAAGATAGATATCAGCACCTCGATCAAACGTTCGTACTACTTTCTCCATCGTGGCTTGTTTTGGCCTCAAGATCTCGGCTACCTTAGTGCTTTCCACTTGCTATGGTGTGGAATCCTCAAATGGCTTATCATAGTACATCTCCGGGCCGTGAGGGCTGCAGCCACTGTACAGTAGCACTATGCAAGTCTCTCGATTAGACAAGCAATTGGCGCATGAGCCGTATTTCCGGTGCAGCAAGTCTGGAAAGCGACTATTCGCTGTACCCCACAGATCGGCTTCGCATCCCCTGCCTGTCACACCCGCGAGCCCTCTGCCAAGTTGACTCCACTCATTGCAACTGTAGCCTATAATGCCACGCTCAAGGGCTCATTCTCCGTTCATGTCTAGCGCTGATCGGCATACCCCGTTCTCATCATGCGCATAATACGGCGGCACCTTGAAATGCTGAGACATAGCAATACTGAAAGTCACAATGTGTTTGCAGCAACTGAGACCGGATCAAACAGCCCTCGTATCTTCATGATCAAGTCGAGTCTAATCCAAAGCAGTGAGCACCACGGGCAAATCGTGTGTCTCTCGCATTGGCTGCCGCATTCACTGTAGATGGACTGGCAAGATAATTGCATACGGAAAGCTGTGTACGCTTCTTTCAATACCGCTCTACTTTTCGAGGCATCTATATCAACGTGGGAATAGGGTATCAACGGATCGAGTTGGGGGTATTGTGTAAGGGAAGCGATCCTCGAAACCGTACTGGATGCGAGGCCGTGAGGGTTGAGATACTTGCGACTACCTTAACTTCAGGCGTGCCCTTTATTGAAGCCCCACCCCTCTTTCCACGCATCCATCCACTCCCCTTTCACCTTCCCAAGAATCAATCCTCAAAAGTCGACTACTCCTACGCGTCTCTTCAGTATCCAGCACCACCATCTTTCGTCCCGCTTTCTGCATCTCGAACAATCCCTGGAAGAAGTCCGGGAGTTTGATTGCCGGGTTCAATTCGGGGGTTGGATCAGAGGACTGAAGTTTGGCAACCCACTCGTTGACAGAGACGAGTTTGGCTTGGAGGTCTGATGGAAGGGAGAAGAGGATGAATGGAAGGAGGGCGGCGTATGTTGTCGGTGAGGGGTTGACTAGGTGGTAGAACTTTGCCGAAGCGGCAGGTACGTCGGCTGTCTCAGTGAACGTGGTTGTCATGGCTTCGATGGTGATCTCAGTCGGTTTGCTGTCTAGGTTGGTAGTGGTGTCTTTGCTTAGATGGCTTGTATGCTCATTCTCTTTCCGGGTCATGGGCTCCTTGCCGAATAATGGTCTCATCTGCGATTGGCATGGTATTTGTTTCCGTGTCAGGACGTTTAGGATACGAGACTCCTCCATCTTTGTCCGAACCGAAGAACGATTCCCCAACACAGCCCACTAATACATCAATCGGTATCCAGTCCACCCTCTCCATAGGCCCAATTCCCTCGGCGAACATCCCAAGTACACACCAATCTTGATCAAGCTCGGAAACCCACCCCCCTGTCTGCCAAACACCTTTGCCCCACTTCGGTCCAGCAACTAGCCCAACACTGCAAACCACGCTCCTCATACCACTGACCCTGGCCGCCTCATCGAGCATTCTCTCAGCGACGTGTTTCGACTCTGCGTATCCCATGGCTTGCGGTAGGGAGTATTCGTCGGTGATGGACTTCGGCATTGGACCCGTATGGGAGAAGGGATAGTTTCTTGCTGTGCTGATCGTTGAGATGAAGAAGATGAATGCCCCATACTTCGACTGAGAGCTGAAGTTGATGAATCGACGCACTGCGTGTATGTGCAGATACTGGACAGACTGGATGGAGAGGTTGAAGTTGACTTCCCAGGCGTTGTGGAGGATATGTGTCACTGATATTAGTAGCTTTTTGTATGTAGGTCGAGGGAGCCCGAAGTAGGGCTGTGATAGGTCGGTCTTGAGAAACGTGACGCGTTCGGGTGAGAAGCGCGCTGGTAAGCCGTTAGTCTCGTGGAGGGTATGTTGGCGATCCAAAGGCGGAGTAGTGTGGATGCGAGTAAAGCCGTATACATGTGCGATGGGAGGATTGGCGAGGACGTTGGTGAGGAGGTGGGACCCCATTGAGCCGGTTGAGCCTGTTGAAATGACCGTCTTCGGGGCATCGGGTGGAGAAGTGAGGGATATATGATAGGTGAGGGGAAGATCTCCGGTGTAGTGCTCTAGCATCGTTTCATCCTTTCTTTGCTGTCGGCTACTTCGTGAGGTAGATTTGGGGCCTTGTCAGCCATTTTCTTAATGGTGAGTGCCAATTAATTGGTTGATTGTTGAATTGGAGCATATCGTCCGCGGCAGGATCCGAAGGTCGTTTCTGCCGACTCTCCCTAGAGAAGAATTGATGTGGCGGACAAGGTCCGTTACTTTTAAGAAGTCTATCCCTAAGGCAAAAGGTCATCTCCGTTCAAAACGTGGCCCGCATGAAGCTCCTCTTCTACGATCGGCTGAAGAGTGCGAATCAAAGACTCCTCTCGGTTGAGACGAAGCATATTCTCTGTTGGTGGTTTTAGACCACTCTGTTGTGCGTATAAAGTAGAGAGTTCTTCCTTGTACATATCAACTGTGTTCATTCGTTGTGTTGTTCCCTTGCATGCGCGTAACATAGGTTTCTCCAGAGAAGTGAAGAGGACAAAATGTTTCGCGATTTTATTGTGGGCAGGACAGTTGTTGGGTTCAGCATCTCAGCCCTATTGTGCTTGGCAACAACTATAAGTAGCAGTACTCCTCCGTAGAAAAACAACAAGCCGTCATCAATTTCATCAACAGTCTTCGTTAGCCCACGCTCGAAGGCCGCCCAGATGTTCTCAAGCAGCGTTTCCTGCTCATCTAGCGTGACCGGGGACATCTTGCTTCGACCGTCAAGAAGATTGTGCATTCTGACTCTTCCAGCAAATGCAGATTTGCTTCGAACACTAGTTGGAAGGGATGGCAAGAACGCCTATAAGAAAGTCAGCCAGCGACCGAGAAATGTTCTTCGGTCCGCTTGCTTTGTAGCCAGTCTTTGGGCAGCTATCGTCAACGCTATATACCTCAGGTCGGGCGGTCCAACATAAGCTAGCGTTTCGAATTCTTCATTCTTCCCAAGCTTCTTCTGAATCCACCATGCTATACGGTTGATTGTGTTGGCTAAAACACCATGGGTGAGGTTGCGAAACTCACCTTCGATACTTGCAGTCTTTGGCCGCGAAGAAAAGCAACGATGAGGGGTTTCTCGCGAATCTCATTGAGAGATATGATACGGTGGCCGTATGCAGGCGTGACAAGTTGGAGTAGGAGACTCCACTGGTACTTTCAAATCACATGGTCACAGTATGAACACAAGGCGTGGTGGGGTGTAAGGATGATGATCCATGAAGGTCTGACTCAGCGCACGGAAAGAGCTCAGGAGTGATTGTGTACAGCACAGGCCCCGAAGGAGATTTTTTTATAATTTAACATAATATAAAATATTTATTATATAAAAAGGACTAATAATAAAAAATAAGATAAAAAAAAAAAAATTAATAAATAAAAAAAATATGAAAAAAATAAATAAATAAAAAAAATACTTTAAATTCGTTTATCGCGTAAGCGATAGAATCGATTATAGTAAGTGAAAAGATAAGCTTTTATTAATAAGGCCTAAAAGGTTATAATAGTTTTAATATTAGCGATTATACGTTAGATAGTTAGCGATAGTAATAATTTTAGATTAAAAGATTTATTAAGATTAAAGCTAATAGAATAATATATCTTATATAATAGATTTATCTAAAATACTGATTATATCGTTTATCAGTTGTTAGAGATAATAGATTTCTATTTAATACTCGATAGAGCGAGATAATTAAGAAAGACTTAGATATATATTTATCTCTATTATCGAGGCGAATATAAGAGATTTTATAGTTATATAACTTAAGATAAATCTTAAATCTAAAATTAGCGAGGATCTCACTCTTATACAATATATAGACTTTAAAATAAAGGTAAATTATTTTAAATATTAAAAGTATTTATAGTTATTAAAATTAGTAGAAAACCTATAAGATCGCTATAAAAATTCGCTTGATTATATCCGGGCTAGTGGATATATAGGAATATTTTAACCTCTATAATACAGTACTTAATATACTATGCATATTCTTATAAAACTATATTATCTATAAGACTTATTAATTTACTAATAAATAGTCTATATAAGTATACTAGATTAATAAATAGAGTTTAAAAATACTATATATACTAAGATACTATTAAACTATTCAGAGGTTAAAAATAAACTCGATTACAGTATTTAAGCTTAGATTATCTTAATAAGCGTAGCTAGTTTATAAAAACGATTACGATATTATATTAAGAGTTTATCATAAAAAAATTAACGTCTATATTAAGTATATATAAAACGTTAAGTAAGTAATACTTATATACTTATCTTAAAAAGTAATCACTAATAATACGCGGTCAGAATTAAATTTAATTATCTTCGATACGCAATAAAAAATAGATCTTTTTATAGATAATAAATATTAAATAATTATAAAGGAATAGCGAGTAGTAGAGTTATTATTATATGAATATAAGTCGACGGATTAGCTATTATTAAGTTATACTTAAATTAAATCGATAATTATTAAGTTAATAACTTTCTTATTATCGACTATATCGAGATATTAAAATTATTAAGGCTAAGATTTATATAATATATATTAAATTTAATTCTTTAAAACATATTAATATTAAGATACTTATTCTCCAGAGTAAAGCGTTAAAGAGCGTCTTTTAATCGCTTACCTATATAAGTCTTTTATATTATTAAAATTAAGTATAATAAGCCTTCTTCTTTTTCTTATCGATATAAACTTTTAGTTTAATAAAAACTAGTCTAATATTTAACGGCGATATCTAAATTTATATTGACACTTATATAGATAATTTCCATTAATTTCAATGCATTTTATAATATTTACAACTACTATTTTACCTTATCTACCGTTATAATAGCGATATATAATATTTTATCTTAAATAATAATAATAAGTCTCTTATTACGCTATAGTAATTTATTAAATTTAATAATCTTATTATTAATAGCTTATAGATTTAGATATAATTATACGAAATATTAAAAAGTTTCGAGTTCTATAAGAAACTAAATTAAAATACTTAATAACACATTTATATAATTAGCATTTATAATAACTTATAAAATTCTTTTATATTAACAATATCTTTTAAAAATAAATAATATAATAGTCAATTAACTTATAGAGCAAGTCTTAATTTATAATATTTAATAATACTAATAAAATTTATTACTAATTAATCTATAATAACACTACTATATTAAGACTTAAAAAATAATTATATAAGTTAACTTAATAATTCTAATAAATAATTATTAATATAACTATTTTAATATTATCTTATCTAATATATTATACTAATTAAATATAATAAAATAAACTACCTAATAAATAATTATTATAAACTTATAACTAATTATTAAATATATCAAAATATAAATAAAATATATAATATTAATAAAAATAAAAATTAATTACATTAACATAAATAACTAAATAACTAAAAATATATAATAACTATAAAAATCACTAATAATTAATAATTATTAAAATATAATACATAAATTTATATATAACATACATTTATATAAATTAAAATAATACGAGGAGCGCACTCTGCAGGTAGCAAGGTAACACTCGGAGGAGTGCCCCGAGTTGAGCACAAGACTCGCCCCTAGTTCACACGTGAAGCCCAATCCAGGCGGGCGTACGTCTAGTCACAAAAAGTGTCTCAGGGAAAAACAGGAAGCGGTGCTTTCAAATGCGCTCCCAGCTCCGGGTTCCTTTTCGAAGTCTTTCTGCACCGCGAAAAAGAAGCATCGTGTACCTCACTCGGGTATGCACATAATGCCAAGAGAGACAGGATCAGCATTTCCTAGGCCAACCATGCCAATCCAAAACGGCATTATCCAGTCAAATCAGACGCTTCTTTCATGCACCGTCGTCTTCCATACCGCAATAGACCTCCGCCGGACATTGCAGCTCGTCCAAGATACATATGAGTGCAGGCCCTTCTCAAGTCGGCTGTCGTACTCCTGGCTCTCGTCCTGACATCTCGTGGGTCACAACTCACGAGGTGGTGCGGAGTTTTGTTGTCAATAGATTATCTCCTGGCTCATGCGGCTTGTATTGCCAGCACAGGCCACTGGCATGGTCCACACGCTGGTGACTACTCAGTGGCCGTGACTACCTTATCAAGATAAGCTCAGCTGAACCGCTACTAGACCAGGGTAACAGTAAGGCAATCAAGTTGGAAGGGGACGGATGACGGCGCGAAATCGCAGCAGTCCGGCGCAGAATTAGGCTGGTTCCAGCGATCTAGTGGAGCCACCCCCCCGTACCCTGCAGGGTGCGATGCCGAGGATGCTTTTAAATCCAAGGCATTTGCATGCCACGTCGAACTCTAACTCCCGGGATTCGCACTTAGATGGCACAGCTTATCTGACACCGGCAGGTTAGCGAACAGTCTCTAAATTCGAATGTCAAGAAACCAGTCACTTTGTGTGAAAAAACGATCACGGATACCAAAAGCGACCTGACCGGGAAATAAAGACGCAATGGTTGCCAACATCATGCACACTCCCGGGTTGAAGTCAATGATCATACCTGAGGGGAGACCGTGCCCTATTCTTGCCGAAGAAATCTCTAATTGGAGCAACTCTAGTCAGGTCTCGACATTCGGCCTGATGGCTTCAGCCCACGATCCTACGATCCTTCGGCCAAGTCCTCGCTTGCGCTGCTACCTAGTTGCAGCCAAACGATATTCGCCATGCAGTGCATTAGTCCTACCGAGGCCCATCCTAGCCTCCATGTAGCAGGCATCATGCAAGTCAGAAAGTAGCATCTTCATTGCGCTGATACTTTGCGCAAAAGGCGCCATCGTCATCTTCAGCTTTGCATTGGGAGCTTCGGTTTCTCGTTTCTGCAAACTTCAGTACATTTTCCCAGCAATGGCGGAAGATGTCCATGCCAGCAAGACCGGAACTCTGTTGGCGGCAGATATCACACTCATACTCTTGAGCGCAACAGCTGTCGCGCTCCGGTTGCTGTCGAGGAGGTTGCCAAGAGCTGGGCTTTGGTACGATGATTATGCCATTATGGTTGCGATGCCGCTGGCTTGGATGTTGCCGATTTTGAATCTCATAGGTTGGTCGAGTCTGAGCTCCTGAGAAAGTCGGGTACGAAATGGCTGATGATTACTTATACAGCGACCCACTTCGACTTTGGCAAGCACGAGGCAGTGGCTCGTCCTGACGCGGCGGAGAAGTGGTACTACATCCTTTACATCTTCGAAAACTTCTATGCTCCGGCGATCGCTATGGTCAAATTCTCGATTCTCCTCTTCTATGCGCGCATCTTCACCGAGCATACCGCTAAGATGCCAACGCAGATCTGGTTCCAGAGAGCGCTGTATGTAATGGGAGCCATTACACTCTTATGGTGGATAACCTGCCAATTTATCGTGATCTTTGAGTGCGCGCCTATCCATTACTTTTGGAATCGGAAGCCTGTCACGGGCCACTGCCTAGACGTTCAGATATTCTTCCAAGGTCAAGCCATTCCTAACATCATCACCGACTTGGTGCTTTTAATATTGCCTTTACCTTTGATATGGAGGTTGCGCCTTCCAATCGAGCAGAAGGCCGCATTGAGCGGAGTCTTCTTGCTTGGTAGCTTGTAAGTCTGAGGTCGCTGGTACGCATCGTCGAAATTAGCGGAGCTAACTCCAGATTCTAGTGTAACAGCGACGAGTATCTATAGATTAACCCTCTTGATGAAGTTGACACAAGTGGACATCACGTGGAACTATGCCGATGCAGCTGTCTGGTCTGCCGTCGAACCCAACGTCGCCGTCATCTCCGCTTGCCTTCCCATGCTTCGACCAGTGCTCAAGCTCATTGGTGTCACCTTTGGTAGCGTGAGCAGTCTTAGCAAGAGCCCCAGGCATACAGCCGGCACGGCTGGCACCGTGGGTAGTGACCACCCGCATCGGAGAACAAACACGGTGCCGACTAGGAAAGATGGCGGACCCTTTGCGCGGCTGGCCGAGGTCTCATCGTCTTCTGATCGGGAGCACGGAGAAGAGTGGGAGCTGTGGGAAGGCCGACGAAGTGGGGGCGTTCAGAAATGTAACCCAATCGGGCGATCAGATGAGAAGGATATGCTGGGTCGAGAGAGTTGGGTGCTATTCCGCGTGGGGCGATACACGTGAGGAATGAGATCTCTCTGCGGGATGATAGAAGCTCTTCATAGCTACTCTGGTCGAAGTGTAAATTATCGCTGTACGTAATACGGGTACATGCTCTGTACGAATCACGAGTATATGCTAAGAGGTAGATAAGAAGAATAGCACATATCTGACACCATTTGTAGTGAAGAGCAGAGAAAGAGACCCGACTCGCCGGATGAGAGCAAAGTTGCGCGAGCGTAAATTATGGCCGCCGTTGCCAAGGCTTTCGATTTGGTAAATCTGCAACGGAGATGAGGGAAACCTGTTACCTTTCCTCTCCAGACTTGTGGCGCCGAGGAATAAAGCATATGAAACGGCGCTGCAGATGCTGCCTTGCTGATATAATTCATAATAGCTCCTCAACCGCATGCGGTCTGGAACGCGCGAGCCTTCCCCTTCCCCCGCCCGCCACCCTAAAACTCGCTGCTCAATCTGTAGCAAGCAAGAGATGGATTTAATAGACCGCGTCATAAGATAAGAGGAGAATCAGCCGGGTCTTTCGGAACGAGCAGGAGATGAGGAGTGTGGACATCCATCACTGAAGAGGTCCAACCTTCTACAACGGTCGTTCGCGGACATGAGGAAGTGACGGCGTGAATGTATGAGCTACACGGGAAGAGAATTGTCGGGTCACAGATGCAAGGATATAACTCGATGTGTGGTCGATGATTTGCAGTGAGCAATACGGTGGTATGAGTCCTGTCTGTGTCATTCGCTCTCGGAAGACTTGTTGACTATCTAATCCTTTCCTGCTTCACCAACATCGCCCAGACCGCAGCATACGTTAACGCCTTCCGACTGGCCGTACCGCGTAGTGCTTGTAGTGTCTATCCACGATTGCACATCGCCTCGTCGCCGTTATCATAACGAGGTGAGTCCGATAATCAATCGTAGCAACGTTTCCGATCCCACTTGAATGGAGCGTTTGCTGCAAGTCTCGGTCTCGACCGCCGACTCGGCTTTCTTTGTAATGGTCACGTTCAAGCGGTACGGTGGGTTGAAGTCTTGAGCTTATGATCGTTGTGCCAGATGGTAGTTGGTGATGCGAGACAATTTGCAGCTTGGCAATTCCTGAGCGAGCGGATACCGCGCGTCGACCATGTAATTTGGGTCCCTTCCCATTGGTCCACAAAGGTGGGTTTCAGCCGGCGTTCATCGAGAAGTCATGAATGGTAGACCTTTTGTTGCAAAAGACTTCGGATAGCAATTGATTCTCCAAGCTGTTGACCGGTCAAGAGCAATCTTCGCGGGGGCAGACATCGTCTTGCAAGCACCAACCTTGTCTTGAACGTGGCCCCATTTCCACACACTTTTTTGGGCCTGGCAAAACAGGATCTTGCATGATCTTTTCACGTAATCGCTGTGCTATACTCAGTATTCTTAACGTCATTATCGTCAGTAGAGTCATCATTGTCATTATCTCCAGTGTCACATCTCCACGTTTCATCTGCAGCCCGTCACTCCAGCGACGACAAGGACAGCCCCTCAGCAATCCCTTCCACATCCGCGTCTGCCTGCACCGATTTCTCCTCTCTCTCTTTGCTAAGATCCTCAGACCCATGCTGGAATTCGTCTGAAGGTCCATGCACCTTGACACCCTCCCGAAACCGCCACCCCGGCACTCCATTCCTCGCCGGGCCCGTCGAAACCACCACATCCTTCGCCTCCACGTCAGTGAAGAGGATAGCCTTGCGGCGCAGGAACCATTCGGGGGCTTGGCCTTGTTGCATCTTATCGTACCATGGGTCATCTTTGGCTTGCACAAGCCAGATACGGTACAAGCGAGCGTAGTCATCCGGTATGAGGGGACATGGCATGACGATTTGCATTATTGCATCTGCTACCGTGACCACTATCGCGTTCCCACCCGTCTCTTGATTCATGCCACGTGGCCTGTTTCAGTTGACGAAAATCGTCCCGGTGAATGACCAATCGTAGCTTAGCTTCTAGCGCGTCCGGCCGTGGGAATCCGCATTTCTCCGCTGTCCCTAGCATCCAAGGTGTGCCGCACTCGAGCGCGCACGGGAGCGTCCAGTTGAATCGAATAAAGCACCATGTCAAATAGGGTAAGAGCCCACTCAGCACTCTAGCTACCTAATAAATCAATCCTTCATACCATTTCCAAACAAATCGCTCCCGCCATGCGCCGAAGAAGGTCTCGTTTTGCCGGTACTGATATAGTGGTCTCATACAGGGACCTTCACAGGCATGCGGGCGAAGTTAGGCAAGTTGAGTCGATCCCTGGTGGGGCAAAGAGCTACTATGGGTAAACGTAAGAAGGGGTTCGGTTGATTGTGCTCTATCATTTACAGTTGAGGAGCTTGGTTCTGGAGCTTGTTTGGTACTCTGACGCTCCGGGCGTTAGCTGGCGTTTGTGTCCCTCGACGACGGATGATGTAGACCGTGGCCTTTTACTACTAAGAGCGATCGATCACAGCGGAACTCATTTCTTGAACTGGAAAACGCTGCCTGCGGAGTACCTCTGCCTGGGTGAGGATATGTGCGATGAGTAGTCCGATAAAGCTTTGGCGGCATGAGCTTATGAAGCGACTCGGTGACCCACAGGACGCAGCGTATGTTGTTGCGTATTTCATGAGCGAAGCACGCAGGTGGATAGAATGGCAGACGTTTACTATTGGTGTGAGGGCGACGATATAAGCTTGAAGTTGGCTCATACCGTCAGAAATGTAGCACAGGAACTGGTGAGCCATGATATCGGGCCTCTTGTTTGAAGTGTAGAATGTATGCCATGTATTGATTTGGCATCCGCTGTGTATCTTTCTTCTACGCCCGTTTCGCCAGCACATCATGCCTCTAATCGCAACCAAAGCAGATCCCCAGGAACCGCAAACACCGGACCAAGCTCTCGGCACTGCAGCATGTTTCCACTGCCCCATTACAATGTGCTCCAAGCTGCATTACCTTCAGCACAACTATATGTCGATCATGACACCCAGTATCCAGCTCACATCTCGCGCACGTCGCTACGGACAACCTTCATCCGACTGACAACTCATTAACATGCCTCGAGTCCGCCTCATGAGGAAGTGCCTGCCCCGAGTCCACCTCATGAGGAAGTGCTTGCCCCGAGTCCACCTCATGAGGAGTCCCTAGCCCCGCTTCGGATGCATTCTTGATGGAACCTGGCTCACCGTCTTTGTATGTCGGTCGCAGCTTGCTCTCTCCTCGTTCTCGCCTGTTTTCATTCGCTCGCTTGCGGGCGAGAAGGTAGACGGAGAGGCCCAGGAATGCTAATGCTGCAACTCCACCTACTGCGCCTCCGACACCTGCCGCTGTGCGGTTCCTTTTCTTCGGCGTCTCGAGCTGTGGCGAGGCCGACGCAGAAGGTTCGACTGGCGTAGAGGTGTTTGATGTAGGATTCAAGAATAGACTTTCAAGATTCTTGCTACTCCATGTTGACGGATACCTCACGCCAGCAGCGTAATGGGCGGCAACAGGACTGGGAGCAAGATACGGCGCAGCAGTAACGTTATAATGGTTGGTCCACTGCAATGCCGTCAAGTCAAATACCTTCACACCCTCCCAGAATAAGTCAGTATCATTTATCGCGGCTGACCAACTGGCAGCACTTGGGTTCAGACCACCAATACTCAACATTTGCCGATTACCGACGATGTTACATGTATGAAACATTCGTGGGTCCGAAGATGTATAGTTGGCTTTGAACCAGACGAACGAGGGTAGAGAGAGGACGTAGACCTCGTCAAGGCCTGCGTTAATACTTTGAGAGGCCGATGAGTTGTCGTAAATGTTGCTGCCCACTTGGCCGCCGTATAGAAAGATTTCTAGGTAAGAGAAAATGATGATTAACGTTTGATTGAATGGAATATAGCTAGAGTCTTATACCGTAAGTAGAGTTGTCGCCACCATTGACTCCGACGACGCAGAACCTATCACGCTGACTAGGGACGTCTCCGGTGGCCTCTTGGTAGTACCACACTTGAGTCGATGGGTCGAAAAGTGATATGTTAGACATGGGGAGATAAGCCGCACCGTCTACGAATTGAGAGATATTGGGTGATATCTGCCCTCCGAACGCCACGAGTAAACCAGCAGTACCCCATGTGGGCACGTAGGCGGTACCGCTGAATTCCGCGGTCCCGTCTGGCGAGTACGCTGTCGCACTGTTATTGGACCATTCTTGAGATGTGAAGTTGTAGAACTGCAAGCCAGGGATGGGAATAAAACTGTCAATGTTCGTCTTCTGACTTCCGCGGTTGCCAGCATATCCGCCAAGGTTGAAGCCACCGATATCTCCAGAGGCGACGGAACCTTGAGTGGGACGGGTTATACTGCTGAACACAGAGCTCGACTGGTCCAGGGCCTGCCAGGTCCCACCGTCGCTACTCGGAGTGAAAGACCAAAGTGACTCGAGGGGAACCGTAGTGCTACCCACCCAGGGGTTTAGGTAGCTGAACTCACCGCCATACGCGTACACGGTGTTGGCGGCTACGTTGGTCCAGAAGCGGATGTAGTTGAAATTGGGGCACGAGCCCTTATTGATGTCCTGTATTTGAACGCCGTTATTCTTTGATGATGTTGAGAAGGACGAGGATAGGTCGAGCGCTAACGTCGAATTCACTATTGGACGTTCGCTATTAGCGACAGTCCCCTACGCATTCCATAGATGGAAAGCAACAGAATATACCGATAGCGCGCTCGATCACGCCATCTATCGACCGGGTCGCCTCGCCGCCATCAATGTATAGGGTTTTGCCGATAACGAAAGCTGTCCTGGTTCAGTGCCTGGTCCGCGTCGTTACTAAGGCAGACTCACAGCCATGGAAAAACCGCCTGACAAGCTCCAAGCTCTGCTCCTGGCGCGGAAATTTGAACGAGCTGTCCGTGACAGACGAAGCGATCGAGGGCGCCACCAGCGCAATGAAGACGAGGCCGAAAATGTAGAACAGCATCTGGCGACCTTGAAAGTGCGCGATCAAATTCTAGATATGAAGTCTAGGACGCCATAGCTTCAGGTCAATCCGAGACTGAAGTCAACGATGCTGGCAGATGTGTCTTGGAATAGATTCGAGCTGAGGATAGATCCAGTATTCAGGACCCTCGGAAGCAGTGCGAAGAAGACTGGATCGAAGCTTGCCGTGAAGGCTATGCCATCAGACTAGGAGGTGTGAGAGGATGTTTCATGTCTCCGCATGAACCAATTAACAGTGCACAAATGAAAGATTTCGTCATCAGGAATGTGTTACACTCGCAGAGAAGGAATATTGTGCGGTCTTCCGCAAGACAGCCTTGTGGAGATCTCTCGTCTTCTGTGCGGGCAAAGCTTAAAACGACCAATCATGAAAGACGAAGCTGGAGACAACGTATTTGACATGTGGAAGGGAATTACTCGGCTTCTAAAATCTTAGTAAGCGCGCTTTCCGGGTCCTCATATTGTAGCAATCCCACTTGTATGGCGAATCATCTCCGGGCGGTAAGGCGTGCTTACTCGGAAATCTCGCAGCCCCTTGATTCTTGTTGACCCGCCAGATAGGTCAGTCTTAGTAGGAAGAAATACGTGGCCTCGCAAACCCTCCATCCTTGAGGTTGGAGTAGAGCGGTAGGGTGGCAGAGCGCCGCGATTCGCTGGTCGCTTCCCCCTTTCAATAATTGATCAAGGCCGAAAGGCTGTGTTTCTTGTCCATGTAGCATTGCATCGTGGGATTTTCAGAGTCAGCACGGCCAAAGGAGCAATCGTCCAATCGTTGGTCTAGGCAGAAAGGCTGTGTTTTGTTGTCCATGTAGCATTGCATCATCGGACTATCTGAGTCAGCGCTGTCGAAGAAGCAAGACGCGTTCATTAATACTAGACGTGTGCCTTGCAAGGCCAGCGAAATGCAGCTCTTTTCGACCAGCGTTCTCATGTAGACAGAGAAAGGCGGTGGTCAGAGTTTGGCGTAGAGAGTAATGGGGGCGAAAGAGGCTCTGCGTAATCGGATTTACTTATCGGCTATCGCACCCGGAAACCGCCGGCGCCGCGGTTTTACCCGCTGATGCCGGCTATGTTGATAGCCTTATTTAGGGCACTTTGGGGCCGTCTCCGTAGAACTCCGGGACCGAATATTATGTTGGGAATTTCAAAGCCTCCATTGCAATTAGATATCATTATACTCTGCAATATACTTTAAAGCTTTTTCCTCGTTTCTCCGGGCCGAGCTTTAGCCTCTCTGTTCTATATACCCTCAGACACCCAGTATTCCATTATATATCGTCAAGTAAAAGAGAGAATAGTGATATTTGTTAAACCGAAGTCGAGAGCTCGCTTCGATTCCCGTAGGGATATAAGACCTAATCGAGGCCTATTCGCACGTCGATAGCTGGCTAAGAGATATACGACTATTACTTATTACTCGCTGACTCCGCTATTAAAGGGGTATTTTTCAAGCATATTAGATTTAGCTCTCTTATCTAGTCTCTTTCCTATAGAAAACCTCGATATAATTCTCATAAACGAGCCGACTCGTCTATGGCCGAAGTCGGATACTTATAATATTTAGGGAAGAGTTATCGATCAGCGAGGAGGGAGATATTATTCAATCGAGAGGGGTGGGGCTCGCCGTTATATCGATAATATCGAATTCTTCAAGGGGGACGCGTTAACCCTCGATCTGACGCGTCTTATTATCCGATTTTCGCTTATACGTAGTTAATTATTATCGTAATCGAAGAATTCGATCGTACACCTATATATAAATATACGCTCCCTTAAGATCTCTTAGCTTCTCTGACGTGCTAGACTATAAGTTTACGCCTATTATAGCTAACGAGTCGAGACCTAATCAACGCGTAGCAGCTATTAAATAGGTATAGAGCAGACTCCCGAAGGTATAGGAATCTTTGTCAGAGGGTTCGTAGCCGGCACCACGTACAGGTGGATCTCGTTGCCAGCCGGCGTAGAGAGTAATGGGGGCGAAAGAGGCTCTGCGTAATAGATTTACTTATCGGCTATCGCACCCGGAAACCGCCGGCGCCGCGGTTCCGCTGATGCCGCTATGTTATAGCCTTCTAGGGCACTTTGGGGCCGTCTAGGTAGCTCCGGGACCGAAATTTGGATCGGCGCGGACGGGCAATTAATTCTGCAGGGCAGCGGTACTAAAGCTCACTGGATACTGCATACTGCAACCCGCAATAGTGCAACACAAACAAGGCTGGCTCTATGAATAGAAGACACCTGTGTAATTTGATTGATATAGCCAAGTTTGAATGATGTTGATGGATAAGGGACGGATCATCCAAATTTGAAATTTGGCTCCGACTGGGCCTGCTTGACCCTCCATTGCTCAAATTACAGAACACATCCTCTGAGTCTGACTCACTCATGACTGAACACCAATATTGTCCCCTCCTTTATCTTCGCCCTTGTCTTCACAAGTCTTTCTAATGAGCTGTGTATTATGTTGAAGTCTGCGCCTCGTCGACTAGCCAACGTCCGCTTTCAGACAGTGGTAAATAAACTCCAGAGCCTCTGAGCCACATACTTTGATTTGCCCGCATTTCCCTTAACTACGTTCCACTATGAGAACACTTTTCACATCCTCGTTCACTCCCTTGGATTTGCTTTTGCGCTTTAGCTATGCTAATCTCCAGTTCAAAACCGCGTCGATGGTTTTTCTAGCTCGTCGAGGGGGGTATAGTCGCTATCTTCCAAACCATCTCTCATCATGTCTTAAACCAACGAAATGTCCTTGCTCGACGCACCTCCGTGGCTCGGCGCCTTGGCAAGTACGGCTATGACTACAATATATTGCCCCGTGGACTCGGAATGGTTAGACATCACCCCTGACGACGAGTGCGGACTCATGATCGCCAATATCGCCCTAGCCAAAATCCTTGAGCTTGCAGATCAACTTCCACCACCATGGCCTGAAGCTCGATACTTCCATCTCCCCGGGCTACTTCACCAACGACGCGAACAAGAACATTTATGGAATCCAACGCCCCGTCAAGCTGTTGACTGTAGGCAAGGCTTTGGCGAGGCAAATTGCGAGATCGACTATAACGCTACCGGCTCGCAGGAACTCAGAAATTCGAACGTCGACCAGTTTGCGTCCTGGTGAATTGGGAAAGACCACAGCAATGGCTCCTGCTCGTTCTAATAAACTTGCCGGGAAGTGAACCGTATTTGACTTGAATTTGTCGCACCGAGAAGCCCTAATAGTAGAAGCTCCTTGCAAACGGTGGAGATCCCCTTTTATCAACCGCGCTGAAACTTGACCTAAATCGGTAGGTTTTCGTGCGTTGGTCGCATCATGGATTAGAGCATCCTCTACGCTTTGTTGTTGCAGCTGGAGACTTTGTGATCAGCAGAGTGGCAGAGGAAGAGACGGTGATAGATAATGCGTTGGGGGATAGAGGCGTTGCTCCTGGTGATCACGATGTCAAGCTTACAAAATCCTCTTGTCTCGTATTACTACCGAGACCGCATTCTACGCAGCCCACCCCGTTTGTACTCAGTGTACCTCCAAATCAGAAGTTGTGTACCCGAAAAGGGCGAGACACATGGGCCCCTTCTGATAGCGTGTGTTCTTGTACTGCTAGAATGTGCATAAATTGCCAGATTCGGTTCCAATTTATTGAAGTCAGCGGGTATCCTCGAGTGCCTGTACGAGATGGTATCAGTGCAGATTGGGGAGTCATTTGTGGTAAGTACTTCGGAAAGACGCGGGAATCTTGGTAATTTCAGTAGACTGGGCTGTCGCTGCAAGTCAGGGCTACTTACAACTATATATCTCTTAAATGCAGAGCGTTCCGTTGATCGAAAATAGTGCCATCCTGGAGATTTCTTGCTGAGGCTTCGGTTTGCTTTTCGGTGGCACCCAGAGTCGGATCTGCTAATGTTCCATTGACAAAGACCCGCTGCAGCCTCTTTGACACGATATCGAAGGTTTCTTGAGGTTCAGATGGCCAGTCAATCGCGTGATTTGCCTTGACGTTTTCCGACCATAAACAACCGCAAGCATTGCACTGATTGAAGCGCCTACAACACGATTTGCGGCACCACCAGCACTACCCCGTCGGCAGAATCCAGAAAGAAGGCCTGCCAATGCTGATGATTGGCAACTGAACAATCTCGAAGCGCAAAACGCAAATCATGCGGTTTCGGGTATATATGTACCGCCGCACCTTTGTCCTGGTCTGGAAAATTCAGTCCACGCTCGTGTCGTTAGGTACCACTCCTTGAAGTATTTTCATCATGCGTGCAATTGTACTCTCTCTCGCGTACCTCTTCTACACCGCGCGCACGACATTCGCTGTTGCGTTTCCAAAGCAGTCGTCTGGCCTGTGGACCAACGCCCCCGAAGACGATACTCTGCCCGCCACAAGCGGCAACACAACGCTGAGGCTCGAGCCTAACCCATCCGCACCCCTCAACGTGTCCGCACTTACAATCACATGCCTTACCGAGCCCCCACCCCGCCAACCCATCACCTTGGCTGCTTACTACGAGGCCGTTCAGAAGATCCTCATCAGAGATGACGCCTTTTTCCCACGCCGTTTCGAATTAGGACCAGGCGGCAAAAATCTCCGATGGCAAGGAGGACAGTGCGTCATCGCTTTCTTCAACAATCAGCCGTTGAGGACGGATGCCATTCCTATCATCCTCGTTGCCCATGTTGCAGCTTTGATTGCGAACGAATGTATCACTGAAGCGAAGGGCTATCTTGGTGGGGTTGCGCAGATTGGTCCGAGTAGAGGAACTGTGGGTGTTTTTCATACTGTGCCATCCGGTAGTGAGGCCGATGAGAGATATGAAGCTCTCACCAGCGCGGTGGAATAGGTTCCGAGAGATTGTGAGTTCTTAGAGGATGTATCTATCGTCAGAATCTGGAGGGTAGCTTTGGATGTCGTAAGAGATTTTCATATAAAGAGAATGATACTGTACGGCAGTCACACTTCTCCTTCTCGCCAATTGATCGGGATAAAGATGCAGCGGAGGCCCAAGTGTTCCATCATAAGGTTCCAGGGCCAGTGTTAGTTTCGACTGCATTGCCTGTTCTTCTGTATATATTTCACGGTGGCTTGAAAAGATAATAGTGCTTTCACCGTTTACGAAGACAACGGTTGTGTAAGCTGGAGTCTTGCCCCATTTTTCTAAAGTGCAGAGGAGAGCCTACTTTTGTAAGGCTAAGGTCCTTAACAGTGGTATTCAAGTAGCTTTCTATCATTTTCATCGCTCCTCATGACCCTCTGTTATCCTATGAGATTGCAAGTGACTGTATTAAACATGAAGGATGGCTACGAAGCCTACCTTTATTATGCAGGAGTTTGCCAGCCCTACAACAAGGCTGGGAGAATACTCCAACACCGGTAGTATCCTACATTCTTCGGCCGTTGAGAGACCGCAAGGCCACGTTCTCATTCATGATGGCATGCGAGCCTTCCCCATGCAGCTTCGATGGAGTCCGAGCTGGACGTGGCTACCCAGCGATCGGAAAAGCGAAAGAGCGAGGGGAAAGCGAAACGAAAGAGCTGTCTGCAGTATGGAATTGGGATGGCACCTAGCACTAAAAAGATCGAAGGTTAAATACTTGGAATGCTCCTAGGAATGGAAATGTGTGGTAATAGTGTTAGACTCGGGAGAGGAATGACTGGTCCTAGATACACCAACACTGCTTCCGTCATTCCTGGCATTCTACGAGAGGATATCGAAGGGGAGAAGGCCGTCGTTGGGCGCCGAAGTTAGAGACAACGCGGCTCGATAGTAGTGAATAAGGAACACGCAGAATGGGAAAGCTGCAGGCTACCTTGATACATACTGGGCCATGACGTTAAAAAAGGGGCATCACCTTGACCGCTACATCCTCCTTCAGGCTGCCGACATGACTTCACGTCGTTGGAATATGCATGCGGCGACGGGTGGCGGAAGTCAGTTCCCGTGGCGGACCACCTCCCTCTCTCAAAACCCTCGAATCTCTCCGAGGTATCTCTCTCGGTTTGGAGCCTTCTCATAACAGTGTTTAGACCTTCCTTGCGTGCAATCTCCCATTCTCTCAATGACTTTGTTTTACGGCCGAGTTCGCACTTCAACATTCATCACTCTCATCGCCCTCTTCCTGAGATATCATCAACCTACTCATCCTGCTGATCCTCGAGAGATCATCGAGTATTCTACGGATCTGCTTGGTATCGTGAGTCATGCCTGGGCGGAGTATCAGCTACAGTCCGGACGCGGTCCCTTGTCATATCGGATACGCACAATTTCCAATCTGAAAATGACACCGCACGTCCTCTGCGGTTCCATCTACCTGTAACCAAGGTCGATGTCTTGCTCCAGTATGGCGGCCTACCACAGTGCGGTGGCTCACTCTCCAATAAGACGGCTCGGGAAATGCTCGGTACCGTCAATGCTGAGCTGAAATTTCCCTTTTTGGAAACCATGATCTGGACTTCGACAAGCGCTACTGGAACACTCACCTAGACGGAGATGAAAAACGAAAGGCCGGAAGATCACTTCCACGCGACTCAAACTATGGCAGGACTGCCAGCTGCGGAAGCTTGCATTACCTATCTGGAAGAGGGGACGCACACCCATACGTTAAAGAACAGAGCTATGTTCTGAGTCTACGCGTCTCTGTGCCCGCTAGCATTCTATGACTGGGCTTTTGCGTACGAACGCCTTAATGATTGATTCAACGAAGCCTATCAGGTAGCCGATGGTGTCAAATCGAATTCGAAGCCTATCATCCCATCTTTCCCAAACGGTGACAACACGATGACTCATGGGCCGCCGAAGGGTATTCTTGACGAGTATCCGAGAGGAAGCGTGGGATGTAAGGATCTACGCCAGGCCTTGGGCAGAGCGAGACTACGCATGCACTGTTTTGGACACATTCACGAAAGCAGTGGCGCGGAAGTGATGTGGATCGGGAGGCGCCGGGAGGGTGAATGATCTGACGAATCGACCAGAGGCCAAGGAATGCTTCGAGAGCAAGGACGATTGGCAACGCGTATCCTGAGTCGGTGAGGGTGTCCTTGGTTCATGGGCAGCAATCACTCATGACTAACGCTGCGGTTCGGGATGGAAAAAAGATCTTACGGATGCGCCGCGGCTCATGGATCTCGAATTGCCACCGGGGCTGCAATACTAAGCATAGGGATTTTATTGACATGTTTTATGCCTCTATCGACCTATAATTCGAAAGGGGGAGAGGCGCCGTCAGGGTCACGTGATGATAGGAAAACCCGGTGAAGGGAAAACTTTGGCAAGCATGAGCGTGTTCGGCAGGTATTCGGTGTCCATTCAGCACCTGATTGCTTTTTGTCTTGAAGTCATCAGGACAAGGATGCAGCTCGATGTCATTTTGCTTCACCGCCGCGGAAGGATGCGCCAATGATTTAGCGCACTCCCTCGGTGCCCACAGAAATGCCTCGGCCTTATGAGGGGTAGTCATCAGATTTCGGCGTTCGCTCTTTCGCTTGGCCGATTGATGATATATCACGCTTGAATACAAAAAGAGTAGTGTACTTTCACTTCATATCTCCAAGTTCACCATGTCGTAGCACTACTATTTTATCCTCTACTGTATCAAGATGAAGCCTCCGTTCCCTTCCCTTACCGAAGCCTACCACTCCACCAGCTACGATGCCATATCTCCTACGCGCCATGAGCTTTCTGTTGCCCACAAAACAATTGTCGTCACTGGCGGCGGCCGCGGTCTAGGACCCGAGATCGCCAGAGCCTATGCGGCCGCAGGAGCTTCACACGTTGTCCTGCTCGGTCGCACGCAGGCCACTCTGTCCCAAACAGCGGAAAAGATCGAGAAAGAGTTCTCTTCTGTCTCGGTGACCACCCATACCGCCGATGTCGCGGACGAAGCTGCCGTTGGGAAGGCAGCAGAGAAGGTCGGGAAGTGGGATGTGCTGATCCTGAACGCCGGGGTCCTTGCCGAGCCGCGTTCCGTCGCGGAGTCGGATCCTACGGACTGGTGGCGCGTTTTCGAGGTGCGACTTGGCTTCCCCCATGTTCTGGCGCCCTTTGAGCTACCCGCTACTCTCCTGCTATACAAACGATGGCTTACATTGATTCTATGGAACCTAGACCAACGTCAAAGGAGCAATGGTCACCACTCGTGCCTTCCTCCCCCTCCGAAACAACGATGCCTCTCTTATCGCCCTCAACGCCAACCTGATTACTGTACCAGAGTCCAGCCCATTCGCCATGGGCGCTTCCGCCTACAACTGCTCCAAGCTCGCCCAACTAAAGCTCCTCCAGTATGTCTCGGTCGAGAATCCGGACCTCTTCGTCGTCTCGGCCCATCCCGGTGCTGTAGACACAGACATGCTCCGATCCTCCGGTCTTGGTGATAAAATCGATCCGGCAATGTTCGACGACGGTAAGTCTTCTCCTGTCCGTGATGGATGCGACTTTTTCCGACTGAAGCCGTTGCAGTGAGTCTGTCGGCGCATTTTCTCTTGTGGCTGGCGAGCAAGGAGGCGAGGTTCCTGAAGGGGAAGTTTGTGTGCGCGAATTGGGATGTGGAGGAGCTGAAGGGGAAGGCTAGGCTGATTGAGACGACGTCTATTTTGGAGGCTAGTATACATGGTTTCCCTTATGGGAGTGCGATGGATGCTATGCTGGCTCAGACAGAGGGCGGGAAGTAAGAATGTGTTTAATGGGTCACCTAATTTATAAGTGGCCAACTCCACATGCAATTGACCGAGTGAGATCACATATAACACGTTGAAGATATATGGTACGTGTTACACTGTGTAAGCACTATCGCTCATCGTCTTTGATTGACTGCTCGATCTCCAAATATTCTCCCGTTTCCTCGCAGTAGGACGTCTTGGCAGAACATTGCTTTCTTTGCAACGCAACCATTTCTCATCGACAAGGGGCATGACCGGATGTTACACAGTAAGCTTTCAGATTTGCTGGTGTGTAGTTCGTTGCTCTTGAGGGTCAAGATGCAAACCATTCGGGGTTGGGCCAGCGTCTGTTTTCGAGGGGCGCTGAGGAGTCGGTTAGGCGAGGAAGATTCACGCTCGGAATTCCTCGATCTAGAAAACCACGATCGAAATCTAATAGATTTTGGTCAGTGACTGCAGTAGCTGAATGTGGAAAGATAAGATTACCCTGATAAAGGAGACCAAGTTGGCATCATATTAGGGTCATCAAGGAACCTGTGCCCTCATCGGGGTCACCTCGGCGGATCGACTGTGTTTCGAAACATAGATACATGCTGGCTTTTTATCGACTCCCCCGAAGACCATTCACCACGAGTCTTGCTGTTCATTAAAATGGCTAACCAGGCTCGTGACTTCCACATCCAGACCGTGTGACCATTGCGCACGAGCCATACCAACATGGCCATGCGAAGCAGCAATCCATGCTCCTGCTTTTCCCCCTTCTTTGCGTATGCTCCACTGACTGCTGCCGCTTCCTTGTACCATGCCATTGCTTTATAACCCGAGTTTGAGCATGCCCAGGAGCCACCTGTGACCAACAAGGCTACAACGGCCGTCACAAAGAAGACCCAAAGATTTTGTCCCTTTTGATTCAGTTGCTGAATATCCATACTGAATATGGAAGTCGCAAGATTGAGAGGCACGTATACAAAGGCGAGTATTGTGACTAAGACATTGTTAATACACTTCATCTTTTTAATACGTCTTCCTGTACTGACAGATTTTTACTACGAAATGTTAGCGTGAGTCTATAAAGGATTCATTCAAAACTTACCACTTTGGGATTCACGAATTTGAATATTTGATAATTCAATGGATCTCCGCGATTCCTCTAAGGACAGATCCCCAACTTGAAGTTGCATATAGTCTCGGACTTCGGCTTCCAAACGACGCGCTTCATCAATGAGACTTCTCCAATCTGCCTTGATACTCACGTACGAAGGCGCTTTGGACCAGTCCAAGTCGACTTCACAGGGCTGGTACCTGAGAATTTGGCTCACGTGGGCCTCACCTTCCTCCAAAGTCCGACGTAAGTCTAGATGCTGTATCTCTAGATCCTTGTCTAATTGCCCATGGGACCTGTCTGAGGTATCCCGGCCCTGGATTCTGTTCTTTGCGAGTTTATTGTATGTACCTTGAAGGTCATCGGATGCGTCTTGTACCCGGTAAGCCTCGGTAGAAAGCAGAGGCGACGTAGCCGCCAGCAGTAGGAAGGATGTGCTTGGAGTGGCAAGTTGACCTTGCGCCATGAAAATTTTCACACTTCTAGCATAGAGTTGCCCTCCTTCTGTCGCATCATCATCTTTAGTTCCCCTACTCTCTCCAAGAGCCTGGTCTATGAAATGGTGGTTTTCCTTGGTCAGCTCCAGTAAGGATGTTTTTGGCCGAAGAGTCTTTGTTAAAAGCATCCTTTCGAAATGCTACTAGCAGGACAAAGACCATTTTCGCTCTTTCAGGCATAAAATTTCGTGACAGAGTAGTGACGGTATCCTTTCCTACTACACTCTTGATTTGAGAAGTAAGTAAACCCCTTGCTGCGAGGGTGATAATCCTTAGTCCTCGCCAAGCGATCATAATCTGCTAGAAGATGGGGATCTAACTTCAATCCCAAGATCAAAGCTTCCGCCATTTCCTGGTTGAGCGGCCCAAATTCGAATGACCAAAGCACGAGTTGCACACGAACATTTGCTGGTGGTTCACGTAGAGCTTGAATGAGCTCAGTTCCTGAGTGACAGTGGCGACGAAGACTCAGGCTATTCCGGACGTTCCTCATGATTTGACAGGTCGTAGATGACGATCGGAGCCCGTCCTGCGTGAGGGGGCAACCCTTCCTGTGCGGTCACGAGATCTTTCGGCCACAACAGTTTCGGAATTGCTTTAGCCGGTCTTCGAAATCAGGGCGAACATTCTTGTAGAACTCCATATAATCCGCGCAGGAAGCAAAGCCAGTCTCAGCTTCGAGGTCCTTCCAGACCTGCGCATCTTTGTATGCTGGTGGCTCGCGAGCGGGCCCAGGCTCAGCCGTCTCAGTGTGGTCCGGGGTACGTGAATGCAGAGACTCCATCTCCATTTTCAAAGATTCGATTCTGTTGATGCGAGCTCAAGATAGCTATAGATACGAAGAAGATACTTTCAAGGCGCGAGAACTTGGATTTGATGAACAGAGCACGATGCTGAAAAGAACAGCTGGCTTTTGGAACACAAGGCTATGGTGGGGGACGACTATGCATGGTGACGCAAGTTTCTATGAAAAGATTACCCAGCCTTATCAGGTCATTTTGACTTACTATTCAGGAATATTGAAAAGAACAGGTGCTTCTTGACGCATGCCCATGATTGCTACCCGTACTAGCCCCAATATTGCACCGTTCGAATCCAGCTGGAGTATGCAACCCGTAGGTACACTTGATCGGAGTCCCGGGCGACCTCGTACGCTTCTTTGGCGGCACGTACCACCGCACTCTTCGGGCCCATGATTTGTTACCTATCAAATGCGTCGCTTGTGAATAGGATCCACTCTTGTGCTAGCCGCCTTCGTACACACACTCGTCCCTAGTGTCTTTCGGTGCGTTGAACCTTACAAGGCTCGCCCCCGAGGAGTATTCGCATATTTGAATGAGGGATGCAAAGACAAAGGCACTGTATTATACTTCGAAGCTGCTTAAGAGTTGGTACCAGCTGCCCGCAAACGATCTTTTGCAGATGTCTAATCTAACTCTCTTGAACAGATCTGCACCTGACAATATGATGAACAAAGGATTAATCTGGCACTGCTACCGAGAGAAGACGAGTACCTCCACATGACTATGCACACCTTTCGGTGACAGGAGTCCAGCCGGTTGACCGTTACCAATCAGCGGCCTACTTTAGTGGAAGATCGACCACAAATGGAGAGATCACCCCAATCAGTCTTCTGAACTATCTGAATTGACATCACCACGAACCACAACTGAGGAGCTACTGCCTTGCAAGATATCAGTTGAAACCTCAACAGAGGGACTAGGTGCCCATTCTGGCTCGTTCAATTCGAAGGAAGCGTTGGACGCCTCGAGACCCAACAAAGCAGCCGATGCAGAGACATTGGCAACGTTTGCAGCAGGCCGACTCAGATCTGGATTCTCGTCGGAGATCTGGATGAATATGTTCTTCCGAAGGCCTAAAACCTCTGCTCAGTTCCTTTCCTTCAGGGCGAACACTCACCGAGCACTTACCCAGACCGAAGGCTTTCCCACCCTTACCCTGAGCCCGAACGCACATGGAAGACAACGCAGCCATGGCTTCCCATATCTCATACCAAGTCGCACTCGTTGACTTTCCGTTACTCTCGACCGAAGCCTGGCACCTCGCGTCGACTGTTCAACAGGAAACGGCAAACGACATCAGTGCTTTTCTCACGCAAGCGAAGACCGGACGTAAGCAGCAGACGGATCTCACTCACTGGCTTTGAAAAAGTACGGCAGGTTGACCTCAACGCGCGGATCTCGGCTCTTGTCCCCAAACACCTTTCGATCTTTCGTCGCTGCCATGTCCGACACGATGACGAGGCAGGACACCCACGGCGGGCCTGGTGTGGCGGTTCTGTCGCAGCGGACGTTGGGTGCGTAGTCTGCGATGACCACGCTGAGGTGATTGTCGCCACCTAGTGAGGGAGCTCTTAATGAAAGTCCCAAAAACGCCCCTTCGAGATGTCTCGCAAGGGGGTAGAGGATGTCATGAAGACTCGTCAGATAAAAATAGACGTACCGATATCAGCAGCAATACCTCCAAGCCCCCTGGCAACCACGCACGTCTGAAACAGCGTATAAGCCGCCTGAACCATCTGCGTCGAACTTGCGTGGCCGGTCGCCGCCGCTATCAGCAGCAGCGGCTGCACGAAGCAACGCCCGTCGTCGCTCAAGATGCGCCACGGCAGCGGCACGTCGTTCGGTCGGCCGGTGTGCCGTTCCGCGAATGTGGACTGCGCGTCCGATTTGCCGATGTGGTGGAATACGTTGCGGCAGCTGCCGGGGCTGAGGTTGCGGCCGTAGCGCGTGCCGTCGCATTGGATGCGGAGGACGTTGGAGGTGGTGTTGCTGGGTGGGTGGGTGATGTTGCTGGGGAGGAGTGGGGGAGAGAGTGTTTGTGGGAGTGGCGGGGCATTGTTGAAAGGGGTTGAGGGTGGGGAGAGAATGGCGGCGGAGAGGAGGGAGAGGAGGGAAATGCCTACTACTTTGGCTTCAAACATGACGCCTACGAAGTTGACAACAGAGTACTGATGTCAAAGTCGGTACGCGCGTTGCAAGAATATGTTAAGAGCCCACGCTTCGCTTGTACGGCTGTCTTTCTGATCTAAGCGCGATATTGTGGATCAGCGGGATTTGTTTTGATAGGCAGTAGTTGAGGCGCTTGGAGTATTGCAGTCCCTGCAGGCTGGGAACATCAAGTTCTGATAAGGTGTTGAAAATGACTGCTATATGCGCTGGGTGATACATACATATATGTACCGGAGGAATACCCTCGTAACCTCCATTCCAAGAACGTCAAACGCCGAACAATGCACTGTTATACAGAATGGATCGTAGCGCTGGACTCCACCAAAAGACTCAATCAATGCAAGACTAAAGGGTTCTCTATTGGCACAAGTGGGTATCTAAGACGCTTTACCGGGCTGAGGACTTGCTGATGATGGGTGCTGGCTAGGTCGACTGGTTCTGAAAGGCGCAGATGAATGCCTTTTCAAGCAGGGAGTAAGGCTTCAGCTTGAGAGCTGTTTGACGTGGATGCCAGGAAAAAGAAGGGTGCGGCGTTATGCTATTCGTATTGTGACCTCGTAATTCTTGCGGAGGTATGTCGAGATTGTTGCTCAAGCCCCTACATCATTTGGCGCACAGGCCGGACCAGCAGGGTTCCCACTTGGTCCATTATCCTCATTGTACGGCGACTCACCCGCCATACAGGTGATGTTTGAGTAACTCTCAATCGGCTGAGTCATATCGTAGTTCGTATGCGCGATCTTGTAATCGTTGTAAATCGTGGCATTGTTGCTCACGCCTTCGATCAGGTAAACTGATTCCTGGCGACACCAACCAATGGGCCAGTGAGCACAGCAGCTTGCGGCCACGAATATAGTTTCTCCTAAGGGAGTCCCGTGGGCATCGGTCATGGGCACCGTTTGGCACCAGTCGCCGGTGGTTTTGATGTTGGTGCAGCCGGCTGTGACATCTGCGCCGCCGGTCGTCACTTCGCCGGATGAGGAAGTGGTCCAGTCGCCGACGGTGATACTGCCGCACGAGCTGCATGTTCGTCAGTAGATGACAACGGTACTGGGAGTAAGGAGTAGGGCACTTACGTAACGTAATATGGGATGAAAGTCCAGTATCTAGTCGGCTGTCAGCCACCAAAAGTATAGAGACTATGGTTTCTACTCACCCGCACTTCTGCTGGCTCAAAGGTGGTCTCTCAGAGTCAACTGCAATCGCTTCAGCGTACGAGGTGGCATACGTCCACGTAGCGCCGGCATTGAACGTTGCTGTCAGATCTCCCAGAGATGGTCCCGAGCTTTCTCCTCGTCCTTCCAGACCTCTCTTCGTTCCCAGAGTGACGCCAACGTTGAAACTGACCGAGTTTGTGACCGTCGAAGTCGAAGTGCTTGTGATCGAGCAGACTGGATCGTCGTTCTGGCAGAAAGTGCGGTTGAACGGTGTTTCGACACCGTAGCTCCACTGGACACTGACTTGGCAGTATGCTCTGCACTGGAACGAATGTTGGCTGGGAATTTATCAAAGAGCTTAGGAACTGACTTACAGAATTATCGTATGTTAGCGGACCACAGTCTCCTTGTGCGTCTATTGTATACTTGGGGGTACATGTTGTCGATTTCTGTCCTTTCCATCAGCAAAATTGTTTGTGGATTAGACTACGCTTGCTGGGTCTGCCATACCGTGTTTGGAGCTGAGTTTTCTGGATCCAGGCATGCGTTGATGCCTGGCTCACCCCCAGTAGTTCCGCTCTGTCTTTTCGTAAGAAGTGGATTCGCTGCTTGGGCTGCTAGTGCATAACCGAGGAATAGAAGGAGTCGATGCATGACTGGACAGCGAGGGACGTATGTGGTAAATGGCTACGAGCCTAGAGAAGTATCTCGATGTGCGGTTGATGTTATGCTTGGATGGATGAGTGGTTAATGATTGGAGCTTCTGAGAAAAGATAATTTTTCAATCGATGTGTGTGGCGGTCGACCGACTTTATACACATTGTCTTCTTGCACCGAAATGGGTGAAGTTGTTGCAACATCGTGTTTACTCCAATGCTGTTCAAGGCTGAGCAGATTGAAATTCTACCCCCAAGGTGATACTAGATAGTGTTTCAAAAATTTGCAACACATTGTAGCTGCGGGAGGAAGAGGCTGGTGGGTTGTTGGGGGCCGCGGAGGCTAGCCTGTGTTTGCACGGACCCCATCCGATCTAAGGCTTTGCGATTCAGCGACTACCTGATCGACAAGTGGAAGGCGTATCTGTCTCTGGTATGATCGATAGTTGCACGGGTCCAATGCAGACAAAGGAGACTCAGATTAACATTTATCATGACATCTTACCAGAACAAAGGACAGGTAGATTGATCTGTGCAGGAAGCACAATTCCTACTGTGATCCTACCGCTCAACATATGGTAACTTGATTGACCCTCGAAGACCCGGTGGCTGGGATTTTTAGATCTCGAGCGGATGGCTGCATAGCCGCTCCTACGGATCGTACGATGACAGTCTCGGTGGTTCGACCAATGGGATGATTTCTCTGCTTCTCACTATTGCAACACCAACGAAGGAACGAAATGTTCATTCACGGAGTGTCAGACAAATGACGGCAAAAGCACCGAAGGATTCGAGAACATGCGAAGACAAAATTACAAAACTGTAATGAAGGCTGATTTGAGCCATAATCTCAAGTGCAAAGCTTCGAAACGTGTGGTACCGGGGCCGCAAATTCTGCAAACTTGACTACCACGACATCGAGGGTAGAGAGTAGTAGTGGGAGCGTATTCTTATCTTCTTGACTCCCAATGAGACCTCTCCTTGTATCCTTGTTCATTCTACTCTAAGAATTCGTCAGATTGGATTATGCTCTGCTTTTTCGACAGACAACAAACGCAGCATCTACCCTACCACCCCCGGAAAATAGCTTGCGTGCTTTCTCCCCTGGAGGCTGCCCTGTTGCGCATATAAGGGAAGAGCATCACGATGGGCTCGTACGCAAGCAAAGGGAGACCCGGCGAAGAAGGATCTTAGATTGGTCGAGAAAGTTGTGCATCGCCCAAATTCATCACCTTATTGAGACAAGGTCTCACCATTGTGCGAGGTCAGAAGGGCAATCAAAGCAAGATTTCGACAACGCGTTGGATGTTCGAAGAGATCTTGGAGATATGGGACAGGCATCTAAATTTAGCGGCGCGCTTGGTCAAGTAGCGGCTGCTGTGAAACTAGTCCACAAGCGGTAAGCGCACTCAGCCTTCCAAACAATGGGCCCACCATGAGAATCCTTCGCACTCTGAAACGTTTCACTGCGCTGAGTACCACAACGCCCACAACGTTGTATGAGCGAGGGAAGAGATCTCGGCCCTTTGCAACCAATAATGGGCTCGTGTATCCTGCGGGGACGAACCAGACAGGCTTCTAAGCTTTGCCATTCTCATCCCGGAGCATCAACTCTCCGAATCCTGTGACGGCGACATAGCCTACTCTCTCGACCAACAATTGAGGCGATACAAAGACTAGTTTGTCTTCTGGTGCAACGGGTCGCTGTTGGGGCGGCCCTAGCTAGCGTGACCTCGAACCGTCTGATATGTCTTCAAAAGGATTCCACACATGGAATCCTGTCATCTCTGTCTCCCTTCTCAGTGCTGCAATTCCTGACTTTCCTGACCCTAATAGTAGCAACGTCTACATTTCCTCTTATACAATAGCTAAACCATTCCAGAGGCAGTGAGACTCTACAACCAGCTACCATGCCTTCTCCCCGGAAACCATCCGCCACAGCGATCCTCTTCCTCCTCCTCCACAGTGCGAGCTTCGCATCCTCACAAACCACCGTATCACCCAACTATGCCTCCGAGAGCCCCTCTATCTATCAGGAATACAACTTTACTTATCCCACCTACGCAACCGACCAAACCATCCTCACATCCTACAAGGACAGCATCGACGTCTCCTGGACCTCAATTGCTCCCCACCACCCGCCAAGTCTCTCAATTGAGTGCTGGATCCGAAATGCTACAACCAGCCCCATATGTATGTATTCACTTGTTACCTTCCGCCTCTCTGAACCCTCGCTAATAGGGCTACCAATGGCAGACGCCAGCCGCCGACCAGACTACGGATCCAACCTCACTACCTTCGCTCTAGCCAACGAATCTAGTTACCTCCTTGAACTTGCGACTTTCCAGGAATACAGCCCTTGCCAGCTCATCCTTCAAGATTTCGACATTTTCAATGCCTCGAACGGTTCGAGCTTTACAAAGAACAACAATAATCCGGTGTTCAGCAATATATTCGCTATCAGCGTGCAGAATCATTCAGCTGGCGTAACTTGGAGCGCGAAGAGTCCGGCGCCGGAACAGACGGGTACAGATGGTATAGGAGGAGGTACATCGAAGAGTGTGGCTGGAAACATTCGTGCAGGAGTATCTATGGCATACGCAGGCTTGGTAGGGGCAATAGTGGTTACATTGATGTTATGAGCGAAAGTGCTCGTAGCAAAGGGTGGGGAAAGACACTTGCGCAAGTCCAGATATCTGCCGCGGACTGCATGAGAGACTGAGCAAGGTGTTCGAATGCCCTGCGATAAAGTCCATTCCTAAAAATCCAGAAGACCTGAATTTTGTATTATTCGCCTCTAAGCTCAGTCCACAACGGCTTGTCCTTGTTGCTGAGACCCTTTGAAGGACCTCATTCGGAAAGCGAGTACTGATTGCCAGGAGGCTTCTCTTCAGCTGTTCTAGGGTCAACCTTGACAACGATTCCATTTTCCTGCACCCTAGTCAGTGCGGCTCCAAAGGGGACTGCTCCAGCTACTTCTTCTCTTGGATGCGCGCAGCTCGAAAGTCGCCCATCACCACACACTGGGAGTGGGCTTCGTCATTGGGGTGCTGCAAGATGCCGGAAAGAGAACACGCCGATGCAGGGCACCCCACCTCGCCTACCCTCTATCTCACCGCTGCTTCTCCCTCTGCACAATCACCAACCCTGCAGTCTTGTCCAAGGTTGTCGATCCTCAAATACTGACTTGTGACCAAGCATCTTGGTTGCGTTTTTTGTCCGACCACTTCGTCGAACTTCAATATACTCTTGACACTCAAGATGGCAGCCCAGAGCAGAAGGTACGCCGTTTCCACCCTTTGGCCTAAAACGTTCCCTGACTCGTCTCAGCAGTGTCTACGCCTCAGCCCCCTTCAAGTTCATCGTCGAAGGCGAGCCCCTCTACATCCACTCTGATCTCGTCTCTCTCCACTCTAAGCCTCTGGACCGTATGATTCATGCTCCGGTGGCAGAAGCTCAAAAGGGTTTCGCCACTCTAGAGGATGTTGATGAGGGTACCTTTGTTCGATTCATCGAATGGGCTCACAAAGGGTATTACACCGCCGCCGAGTTCACGACTGATGAGGTTCCGTCACCACGCACATCTGGGAATCAGAATCACGATGAAGTTGTCCCTACAACCCAGGAGGCTGACTTTCCAGGAGAGACGCTCAGACTTTGCATCCGAGGAGAACTTTGACTTTGCACCGGTCACCGAAGAGGAACCGGAGCCGGAACCGATGTCCTGGGAGGCTCCATTGGCGTCATCCTACAAGAAAGGAAAGAAGTTGAAAAAAGTAATCCATTTTGACCGGTTAGATCAGAAAGGGGGGCTCAAAGAGTCCTTTATCAGCCGCAGATACACCGTCCGCCAAAGTGCTGTTGAAATTCCTCCTCCTCGCCCCAACCACCATCCAGAGGAGGATTATACAGATGTGTTCCTCTCACACGCGCAGCTTTACGTCTTCGCTGATGAGTACGATATCCAACAGCTCAGAGTCTTAGCCTTGGAGGAGCTTCATGCAACACTAGCCATCCATACTCTGTACCCCGAGCGTACTGGAGACATCATTGCGCTTCTGCGATATGTCTACGCCAACACCCGCAAACTGAGAGAGGGCGTGGAGGACGTCCGGAACTTGGTGACGCAGTATGTGGGCTACGAGATGGGTATGCTGATTAAGGATCCCGCATTTGGAGACCTCATAATCAAGGATGGAGGAGACCTTTTGGGCGATATCTTGAGAATGGTTGGCCAGAGAACCTCATGAAGTGATTTATAGAGTAGGTCAGTCCGCCTTGTTGCCCTAGAACGATCGTTTTCTCCATGAAGGTAGCATCCGCTCTCGACTTTTCATGTTCCATTTGTTAGAGCTCCGGATGCGCAAAGCTGATTAAGTGGCTGTTCGGTCCGCAGGTCAGCCAATGCAACGAAACGAGCTACATAAGGGGGAGAATCTTACAACCACCTGACCTGAGCCTCACGATTTGGATGCGATACGACTGTCCCATTTTGAGATTCGCGCCTTTCAAGCCACCGTCAGACGACCTTTTCAGTTTGCTTTCGGTCCGCCCTGCTTAATGAGTTCGCTCAAATTCACTCCTTCACCAAGAAGCATTATGTATGACGGAGGGACCTTTGCAAAGCCAGTTCGGTGACTGCTACCGCATGATCTTCATACCGCGGACGCATATGTTTCCTGTTGATGTCGATGTCATCAATCTCGAATCCGTAATAAGATCACCAACACTCCTTGATTGGAACCTGTATTGCCTCGTAAATTTTCTCGAAACAGTGGCACATTGCCCGAATCAGATCCCACTTACTGCTGACTAGTACTGCTACTTCCTGGTTGGGGACAGGGAAACTCCATTCATTACAACTTGAGTGGCAAGCCTTAAACAAGCGTCGCGCATCTCTCCAATCAGACCCCGCGGTTGTTTGACATACACTCCGGCTACCTATCTCCGGCCCCGAGATTATATTCTCCTCTCTTCGAGTCGGAAGGTTTCACAGAAGCGTGACGCACATCCCGGACTCCATTTCAGAGTACCATTGGGTGAGGCTCCCGCGCGGCTCTGCCACCCATCTCCGTGTTACATGCATGTATTTCGCCATCAGAGTCATAGGATAACCTGGCGCTGTACTGTTGAAACAGATCCAGGAACCTACTTTTACAGCCTGATGCCCCATGTTCCATGTTGAGGTCTGATGACTTCCTTTCTGCACACTATGGATCCTGTCTTCTCACTTCGCCATCAAGCTCTGCACTTTTTGGTGACGCAATTCCGTCGGAGCCATACAATATTGAAGGACTGTACAATGGCAACATATTCCCATTCATTGTTTCATAATCGCTTGATGCTTCCATTTTCTTTGTTGAGGCCCAATGACTTGCTTTCAGTGCTCTCTTTGCGCTGCCTGTGTCTTCGCCTTCAGGGTTGCGCTTCTTATTGTCTCATTTTTGTACTTCTGTACCTGAACAAAGCCAGAACATAGGATCAGTATCATCATTGTTTATGTATCACCCTGAAAGCCTCCCTTCCCCTTCGCCATCTTAGCATTCCCATACATCACCATATATACTTCCTTCGTGTTTCGCCATCAGGACCTTTTCCTACATAAAGAACTCTCACACCCCAGAATAAAATTCCAAACAGACAGCATCATCAACGCAATACGAATATCTAACCAAGAAACCATTCACACTCCAAACCACACTCCAGACCCCATCGACCCACCCCCGTTCCCCAAAAATGAAAGCCCGCACCCTCGCCCTCTCCGCCCTCACCATCTCCATCCCCCTCGCCACCGCCTACTCCGGCGACCTAACCTTCTACACCCCCGCCGCCGTCGCCCAATTCTCCTCGTGCAACATCGCCGCCGCCCCCGGCGAGAACATCGTCGCCATCTCCCACCTCCAGATGAACAACGCCGCCAACCCCAACGCCAACCCCCTCTGCGGCACCACCATCACCATCTACAACCCGGACGCCCACATCGCGGTCGAGAACGTCAAGATTGTGGACACGTGCATGGGGTGCGCGGACGGGAGCATCGACGTCAATGTGGAGCTGTTCCAGGCGCTGGGGTACGCGCCCGCGCTGGGGAGGGTGAGTGGCGTGGATTGGGGGGTAGTGCTGTGGGGGGAAGAAGAGGGGGGGTGGGGTTGGAGGCGTTGACGGTTGGGTCCGTGGAGAGGCGTGGGTTGCGTCATCCGCATGGGGTGGCTGGGGGGCTTAGTTTGGGCGCTCCGTACTGGATGGGTTCGCTGGGGTGCGTGTGTTCGGTCTTTTCCGGTGGCTTACGGGGCTGGTCCCTTCCGATTTCGTGAGAGCATGCTGGCTTGCTCGATGGTTCACTCTTTTCGGTTCTGGTGCGCGGTCTGGGCACGTTGGCATGCTTCTTCACGCTCTTTCGATTTGTTACTTGTGTGGTTCTTTGACGTCACGGGGCCCGTTGGCAGGTCTTTTTGCACTCCTTTGGCTTGTGGGTACTCTCGGTGGGTCCTTGCACTTGATGGGCGCGTTGGCACGCTCGCTTCCACTCTCTTGGTCTTTCTTTTCTATTCGACTACATCTTCTGTTCAATCTAGATACATTAACAGTGTTCGACACTACGTTGACTACTGTTAAGCTATTTCTACGTTTATTTTCTCGATGTAAATTTGATATATTCATACATCTATTATCTCTTCCCCTAACACTTGACTCTTTTACTTTTACCTTTTCTGAATTTATATATACTATTGAGTATATTTGAGTATGGAAATTAGGATAAGTCTTGTTGGCAAGCCAAGCCCGCTATATCTCCTGCCTTTATTTGGTATGTATAAGCAATATAAATCATATCTAACAAGATCGCTGCGTAAGTCCCATTGCGCGATGTTCGATCTTCGCTCTAGATATTAGACTTCCTACCACAGCCGTCAACTTCCTGACCTCTTACGTCTCATGAACGCAGTTTTCATTATGAGAATGCTGGCCTTGGAAGATTCAAGGGCATCATAACGGAAGAGATCACTAGCAGGACGAATACCTATCCCGAAGTGCAGCTTGGCATTTCGCCTTACCAACCACATTGGAAAATGGAGCGCCACTTCGCGATCTGGGGCCTCTTCCTCGCCGTCACCGACATGGTCAAAATAGACACACACACCTATGGCACATATGGGATGTGAATAAGTGATTGGGCTGTCTCAACGCCGAGGACAGTAGCCGAACAGAGGCCTGAACAAGCGTATTCTCGTACCCCAGCGCCACCAGCGCCAAGAACCTCCCATGCCTATGGCATAGACCTCAAGGGAGATAATAGCTATACACCGGCGTGGGTGGGTGGGAAAGAATGCAATCGTTCTGAAAGAGATAAAACCGGATGAAGAGCCACTTGATGGTATCTGAAACAGCAGCTACATCATGAAACCCCTTAACCCTCAGTCCCACTGTGGCGAACAGCGCTAGGAGCAGCCGTAGGCGGCCGTGATTCTGTTCCTGAGGACCCTACAGTTACTTGCGGGGAGGGTGTATGTAGGTTGAACATGGGGATCTCTACTGGGCCATTGGGCCCAAAGCCTGGGCTCAGGCCTGTTACAATTCGGAAGCAACTCTAGGCGCATTACGGAGTGTTGTTCAGGTAACCCTCCAGGCCCTGAGAACTTCACGTCCAGGACTTTTGGTGCCGACCTCCGTAGGCCCTTCACGCCTCTAAGATGTTTCAACGCTGGCCTACTGTTGGAAATCATGCTGCAGCACCATAGTGTGTTGTAGCTACCCCTCACGGTGGCAATGACAATATGGCACTAGCGTGGCTTCACATGGTATATAAGTAACCTACATACCACTCCATAGCTAATCAATCCTTCAACCTCCCATCAATTTCGACACCTACTCTCGTCGATTTCACGAATCTCGTCTAACCATGATCAAGTCAATCAGTGACTGTGCCATGCACTTAGCTCGTCCCTCACCAATACGACTTTGAGGGAACGGCACGGCCCCGTTGTGTTGATCCTCAAAATCCCGGTTTGAAAAGGAGTCAGAATGCAGAAACCATTCGACTGGGGCCCATAAGAATAGATTGGCCATATTTAGGTGGGCTGCCAATTAATCTCCGGCAACTAATCCCTTTGTTCCATGCGCAAGATTTTCATTCTATGCATCCCGTCTTCACAGCCTTCCATTAACAGCGTTAGTTTCAAGAAAGGTGAAGGTCTTTTAGTGTGCAAGACTTGGTCAATCAAAGATCCCTTGCAACCCCGCAACCCCGCAGATTCTCATGGCGGAGACGACGACTCTATGGATCCAACATTGAAACAAGCTATGTCAAACAAGGCTCGTACGGCCGAATGGAGGTCCCGTGTAAGGTGGAAGCACTGACCCTCTTTCTCGCTGTTTGTCACACATGACAGCAAACTGAACCAATGGGATGATTTCAATGATAAATCCATGGGGCTCTGGTATGAAATGCCCTGGCTCCAAATATATGGTCCGTGCCGTTAGTCGGAGCCCCTCGTGGTCTTCTCTTAGACCGACTGCAGCTTCCTCCATGCATATTTCCCTTTCTCTCCGCCATACAATTTGCAAATCCCAATTATACTTCGCTGCAGTCTCGCTCGACGCTTCTCTTCACCAACAAAAAAGATGTCATCACCAACAGTGCATGGTCCCCCTCCAAAACTGTCACCTTCTTTCCTGGCGCAGAGCCGTGTGCCAGCCATATACGCAGCAGTGGTCACCGTCTCCATGCTCTGTACTGTTGCTGTCGCCCTCCGCTTCTTATGCAGGCGACTGGTCAAGGCGGTTCTGTGGTGGGATGACTGGACAATTTTGGCCGCTCTCCTTGTCGAATGGGGCCTTTCAGCGGTCGTACTCCACCAAACGGCCGATCTCAATTTCGGTAGACATATCGAGCTGATAAAGCCATGGCAGCTGGTGTCTTTTGCAAAGACACTTTTGGCGACCCAGGTACTGTACTATTGTGCACAAACACTGACAAAGATCTCGCTACTGCTGCTCTATCATCGACTCTTCAGTGTCAACAAGCCGTTCCGAATCGCTCTATTTGCTGCTGGCGCCCTGGTCATGATATGGTGGACGGCTTCGTTCTGGGATACCATATTTCAATGCGTACCTGTGCAGGCATCCTGGGATAAGAGCATTAAAAATGCAAGGTGCCAGCGTATCAGAGACGCAGCGCTAGGCACAGGGATCAGCAATCTCATACTGGACCTTGTGTTTCTTCTGCTCCCCGTTCCTATGGTTTGGCGACTGCACGTTAGCAGGAGAGTCAAGGTGTCCCTGACAGGCATTTTTCTTCTCGGCGCTTTGTACGTTGACCCCCACTACCGTCCGTGTATCGCACACAGCCTCGCTGATAACGACAGTGTCTGCGCAACTTCAGTCATCCGCATCCATCAGGTCCTCGCGACGAATTGGAGCCTCACAGACCTGACCTACGACAGTTTCGGCATCAACGTCTGGAGTACAGTTGAATCCTGCTGTGCGATTATCGGAGCGTGCCTGCCGACTATGCGTCCTTTGATCACCCGCAGCGTGGCCGTCGTCACAAGCCATACTAAGTCTTCGGCCTCGAAAACAAAGACATCTTCCGGCAGTGGTGGGGCAGTCAGCAGTCCACGCTCGCCTTTCTGGAATCTACCTGGTCTATGTGCTCTATATCAAAGCCTGAATGGACGGGTGGAGGAGAATGACGTCGAGAAAGGCGGCCGGAATGCGTATCCATTGAAGCCACTGCAAGCCTTTGCAAACACCACAGATCCTTATCCAAAAAGGATCTCTTCCTTGAACGGTGGGTGGGATCGCTCACCGCATCCTGTGGTGAAGTCGGAGAGATTCCAGTTGGAGAGGCAAATTGCGCCTTTGCCACTCACTCCCGAACCTATCTATTTGTCATCACCCTCTGCCCTTGAGCGAATACGGCGGGCGACTTCCAAAACAGCGCCTCTAGTGCCTCTTTCTACTCCAAAGGATATGGGTCAGCGATATTGATATTTCACACGGCATAGCGATGATGGGGCTATGGATGAGAAGCCAATAAATGACACTAAGTAGACCAAAATCGAACTGTTGTAATACTTGCGTAATTTGACGCTCCTTCTCCAGGACCCTCATGCGTACTCAAAGATGAAAGTGACTAAGACCCAAGCAGCCGAACCCTCAACAGTTCTAAAAAAAAGCTGCGTTCCACTCAAACAGGCTTCACCTGTCACATCATACAGGCATTCACTCACCACAAAGCACGAGTGGCACCGATGGAACCATACTACCCGCACCCGTCTCCCAATCCGCAACGAATAAACATCTTCTCTTAGAAACTCCCAACCATCGAAAACGACCTCCCATGTACCCACCAACCCAACAGATTCCTTCGCTCCTAGTGCTCCTCCCAGCAGCTCCGTGCGATCCTCTCATCTGTCAAAGACTAGCCTAACAGCCCACTTTCGAAAAACATGCCGCTTCTTCCACGTAGCCGGGTACCAACGCCGTCATATCCCCAACCACGCCAACAAAGAGCGAGTACGATCCCAGGCATCGACTTAACTGATACCGGCTGGTACCTAGCTCTCCAAAGACCTTTAGAGCCGTAGTACCGCTAGCTCAGATCCAAGCCCAAACCTTCTGCCGTGCGTCTCACGTCGCCAAGTCTTCAAACCCGTTAGCCTGTGCTGGCCTGGACTCGGTGTTCTTTCCCACCAACATCCGATCGTACATCCAGCGCGGATTCCGTCAGTCGGATAGAAGCTGATGCAGCTGGGATGTGTGTCTCAACATAGAAGCCCGAACGTCGAATCATACACGCGATATTTCAAAGATCGAGTTCATCAGATGCTAGCAGAGGCCCGTACCAACGAACGCTACACCATCCCACAGCACCCGAGTCCTCGCCCGGCTCTAACCCCCGCGACGATTCGTTCCGCACCATACCCGAACAAAGCATGGGCGGTTGGTCATCCGGGGGCAAAATTCCAAGTAGTCATGGAGACCGATCCCATAAACTTTCCGGTCGTCATCGGGCCGGTGTTGAGGAAGTCGGGAGACCGTTACGTTACGGCAGACCCTAATCATGGAGAGCTGCCGCCAAGATTAATTACACTCGGTTGACAGCACTCGCGCCCGGCCCAAACCACCACTATCGACGCCCGGCTCAGTTCTCACACGGTGTCGGAAGTAGGCACGGTTCACTCACTCACTGTGCGGCAATGAGCCTACAATATAGGCGGGTGTGTGTCGATCGATCTCTCCGGTCCTGATTGATTGTTCCATGCGTTCGTCACGGAGCTGAGTCTTTTGAGCCGGGGGTAGTGTACGGGTAGGGGGCATGACTGGATAGGGATTTCCTCTTTTTTCCCGCGCCTTTTTGGGTTCTATCTTTGCTGAGTGGAGAGTTTGGGGATCTTGGCTCGGGAGTGAGTGCACCGACTGACTGACTGACCGACTGCGTTGTCCAAGCTGCTTACTCTTGCCATTCTTACCGGGGCGGGAATTTTCTCTATCTCCTTCGTATCGGACTAGTGAATGAAGAGAAGGGTGCGAAGATGTATGTGTAGTAGTGGTTGCAACGGCTATGAAAGTGATGCGATGTTTTGTCGATGTCTATATCGAGCACGACTCATTGGGCTGTCATTAGTGACAGATCATGCTGCATGGTGTTCGTGGTATGAATGACTGTGTATCTATATTTGAATTCATGGTGCGGCTATCATTCTTGTAGAAAAGGAATCAATTAGTGAGGAATGGTCTGATTAATGATTCATTCGATGGGTTACGAAGACAAGCCAGAACCCCCTAATCCATCCTCCCTCCAACCCCCTCTCCCCTCGTAGCGAAAATTCTCAGCAAATTTCATCGACCAACCTACCTACCTATCTACCTACTCCCTTTGCTCACCCTTCCTTGTGCTCGTTCTTGATCGCCTTGCTAACCACCTTCGACTTCAGCACAATCACAACCGCCAATATCTCCAGCGAATTTCCCGATATGAGATCGAACATCGAAACCTTGACCTCCATCGTCCGCGCAATCCAATTGCGAATCTCGACCGCAACCAAGGAATCCAAACCATAGCTCGCCATGGGCTGACTCGGGCTCACATCCTCCACGGGCTTCATGAGCACATCGGCAATCTTGACCGCCAGCGTATCGTAAACCAGCTTCCGCGCTTCTTCAAATGACGGTGCTTTCTCAAGCTGCTGGCTGAGCGATCCGGCCTTCTGCCCGGTCCCAGAATGCGAACCACGCGACGCGTGATATGCCAGGCGCAGGTGGGAGAATTTTGAATCGCTCATCCAGAAGGGCTCTTCCTTCATGTCGTCATGGGGCCGCAGCCCCGTGATCCATTGGTAGTTGCGCGTTTTGCCTGGGCCGGCGGTCTGCGTTCGGATTGCCGCGGAAATGTAGGCGAAGACTTCATCCTCGTCGAGCCACTGCAGGCCCATGTGCTTATCGACGTGCCAGGCGCGGGCGTCGAAATCTTTGGCGAAATAGCCGGCGCCCCGAACAGGGCCGAGGCCAAGGGTCGCGGCGGGCAGGTTCTGGGCGATGCGGTATTGGGCGAAGGCGTCGAGGAAGGTGGAGGTGGCGCCATAGGCGGAATGCCCGTGGTTGCCGAGTAGGGAGGCGACGGAGCCGAGCATGAGGAAGAAGTCTAGGTTGGTAAAGGTGTGGTGGAGATTCCATGCACCTTCGACCTTGGGCGCGAGCACTTTGGTCCAGTCTTCGTGAGTTGCCTGTTCGAATAAGGCGTTCTGGACAAGCGTTAGTGAATACCATCTTTTGGGATGGCAGAAGAAAGCTTGCTTACTTGGAATACTGCAGAGCCATGTATTACACCTTTGATTGGTGGCATGAGTGCTGAACATTGTTTCGCGAATCTCTCAACACTGCTCCTGTTGGATACGTCGCATTTTAGTACGGCGATCCTGGCTCCAAGGCCCTCCAACTCATTGACTAGGTCCCGGATATCTTGGTTGTCGAGCCCACTGCGGGAAGCAAGAATGATGTTTTTGGCTCCTTGCCCAACCAGCCATTTTGTCATAGCCTGGCCTATGCCGCCTGTACCACCTGTGATGAGGTAACTAGCATCTCGACGTAACGAGGAGTGACCCAGTTTTGGAAGAGCGGCCTGCCTCTAGTATCAGCTTCAAGAAAAGATTGCCGCGCACTGGCTTACGTGAAGTAAGACGGGACTGCTTTGGGTAGTGAACGTGCGTATTATGACTTACCTTGACGTGGTCTCCCTCTCGCGGCTCAACGACGATCTTACCCATCGACTTCCCGCTTTGCATGAGACGGAAAGCTGCCTCAATTTGGGAAACAGGAAATGCATTAATTGCGGCGATGTTTTCTATGCGCCCGTTGAAAACGAGACTTGTGACCTCCGACAGAACTGTACCCGTCAGTTGAGGCTTCTTGGCTTGCAGGAGAAGCAGATCAACAGTAGCATAGGTGATGTTGTTAGTGAATTTGGTCATTTCGACCCTTGTGTTGACGATCAAGTCTTTCTTCCCGATCTCGATGAATCGGCCAAAGGGAGCAAGGCAGTTCAGAGAAGCTTTGAGCATTTCTCCAGCTAGGGAATTCAGCACCACGTCAACGCCATTCCCAGAAGTCCTATGCTTCAGAGATGCCTCAAAAGAAGTATCCCTGGAATTGAATATATGATCCTCGGGTATGTTGTACGCGGCCATGAGGAAATTCTTTTTCTCTGCGCTACCGACCGTGGCAAAAATGTCCGCCCCGATCATCTGACAGAGCCTGATAGCCGCTTGGCCGACTCCTCCGGCTGCGGCGTGGATCAGGATGGTTTCGCCAGAGGACAGACGGGCAGTGTTCACAAGACCGTAGTAAGCAGTCGAGAAAATCACGGGGATCGCCGCCGCCGAGACAAAAGATACAGCATCTGGGATTTTGGCCACCAGATGAGATGAGCACCTGGCGAAGGTACCGTATCCACCACTTGACAAAGCGCATACTCGATCCCCTATCTCAAAGCCCGAGACAGAACGTCCCATGGCGGCAATTGTACCACTGCATTCGCCTCCAAAATGCTCCGAGGAGATCTGGCCCACCGCATACATTACGTCTCGGAAGTTGACGCCGGTTGCTTCGACTTTGATCTCAACGAAGTCATCCAACAGGGAGGTCGTGGCACTCTTGTCGTCTTCGAAATAAAGCGTATCTAGAAGCCCTGGTGATTCAATCGTCAGGCTTAAGGGTCGGTCTACCTGATTGAACGGTTGTAGCTCGGGATCTCCCTTTCTGCCTTGTCGGACAGCCCAACGACTGGCATCGTTATCTTCGATAACTCGCGGAATGAACATCTGGCCATGTCTCTCCATGAACTCCCTCTCCACTTCTCTCCCAGAGGCTTCAGCGCCCCAAGACGCCTTGAAGACTCTGCAGATGAGATCTGAGGTAGCGTCCGCGGAAAGGCGATCTTTCCCATCCAAGTCGAGTAAGATTGGCAGAATACCAGCATTCTCATTGCGAAATGTCCTGATCATCCCGAATATCAAATTGGCATTCGGCGTTGCTGTCTCCAAGTTCGCATCTTGGACAACCCACAGTAAACCCTGAGCCGAGCAGAGTTTTTGGACTGCATCAAAATCCTCGCTGGAGAGGGTCGCCAAGATCGGAGAGTCTAGCTCGTCCAAGAAAATGCAAATGGAATTGCTTAAATCAATGTCTTTCTAGCGCTGCCAGAGACACCACCGTAGGATGTTTCGTGCCTGTTGGCCCGAGGGTATCTTGGAGTCTTGCGAGGGACACGCGGGTAGGTATCTTGCTGCAGACTATGAGGACGTCCCCAGAAAGTTCGTGGTCCTCTGTCGGGGCTAGCTCGCCGTTTGTGTGGCCGTTGACTCCTTTTTCGCTCGATCCCGGGAAATCAGGATGCGGTTGCCATTCCATTTTCCAACAGGGGTATGTTGTTCCCGTTGCGTCTAGTCCGACAGCCTTGTTCGAAAGCGTTGTGGACGTGAAACCGTTAACAGAGATGAGGGGAACACCTCTGTCGTGATCCGTACCCATTACAGAAATTGATCCGATGGTTTGTTCGACCAATGATTTAGAGGCACCGCTGCCGTAAATCTCGATATGCTCGTCTTTGATGCGGTGTATGTCACGAGACACCGAGATCTCTTCAACCCGTGAAGCTATAGGTGTTCCGCTGAGCAACTTCAAACCTTCGGTGAGCATCGGGAACGAGACCTGGAAGCATGAATCGAGAAACCCTGGGTGGACGATATAGTCGCTCTCCGCCTCGTGCGGCATCCTATCTTTGGTATGTGGAATCCGAAGGCGCCCATAAACACTGCTTGCGCCTGTTCGACATTCTACAAGATTGCGGAAGGATGGTCCAAACTCAAGTCCCATTGATGTGAATGTTTCGTAGATCTTCTCGCACTCCACTCCGTTCACCGAAGCTTCTGCTGTTCGAGAGTTACTCTCCACGACGAGTGACCGTCCTGTCTCAAGAGAGCGCTGACCCTCTACTGGGTTGGAATGATTGTCCAGTTGAACGGCGATCTGACCTCGGCAGTGTTCCATCCACCCTCGTTCCTGGTTCCAGGAGAAGATGATGAACTCGTACCAAAGATCAGATGATGCGCGAGTGCTCTCACCTAGTGGCCTGAGGTTAAGCACTGTTTCGATCTGAGAGGACTCGGGAAGGACTAGGGCTTGCCCCACGGAGACCTCTCTCAGCACATACTTGGTGAAGGGAACACCTCCTGTGAGGGCATGCTGATGCGCTGCTTCCATGGCCATGGTAAGGAAGAAGGTCATTGGACATACGACATCGGATTGTACCTTGTGATCTCGTAGCCAGGGCAAGTTGTCAAGCTCAATAATGTTCCTCCACCTTGGTTCGATGTCATTAGAATCGACAGCCTGGACGCCGAGAATATCGCTCCGACCAAACTTACGAAGGCGGTGGTTTCGAGACAGACGAGTCTCGTGCCAGTACGAATGCTCGTGATTCCATGGGTATGTAGGAAGATCGACTAACACTGCGGGTTTCTTTCCATTGGCCTGGTTGACAGCAGATAGGTCGATAGCGCAGCCTCTGATCAGCAACTCTGATGCCAGCTGCAAGGCTGATTGCAGAGCGTCTGTATTTCGTTTCAAGCTTGGGAGATAGTCAATCTTACGGGGAGGGCTGAGCTCCATGTCGAGGATCTCTCGCACAGGACCCGCTAAAGCCGAATGAGGTCCGATCTCTATCAGAACGTCGACTTTGGATCTGGCATGAATCTCTTCAACAGCTGGTAAGAATTTGACTTGAGAGACAAGATTGGACACCCAGTAGGTAGGATTGAGCACCAATGTGTTGATTGGAACGCCAGTCAAAGAAGAAACGAACTGCACAGCTGCTGACTGCACAGGCCTTATGCCCTTAAGAGCAGAGCGATAGCTTCCCGAGATCGTTTTGAGATGATGGGAGTGATACGCGACATCAACATGAAGTTTTCGGCTGAAGAGAGACCCTTTCCGCAGCTTCGCCATGTAGGCGATCAATCGCGGTTGCATCTCCCGAGATAGTGACGCTGGAAGGACTGTTGACACAGGCAACAACAACGCTACCAGCGAGGCCTAGTTCATTGATCAAAGAGGTCGCAGCAACCTCACTGGTCCCGAGTGCTAACATGCCTCCCCTGATCTCAGGATGTTCCTTATGTAAACGAGCAGCGGCCTCTCCACGATGAAATGCAATTGCCATGCAGGATTCTAAAGACAAAGCGCCAGCGGCAAAAGCTGCCGCGATCTCTCCACTTGAATGGCCGGTCACGGTGGTCGGCTGCACGCCCCAAGACCGTAGCACAAGCACTAGCGCAATCTGTATCGCTGTGCAGGCTGGCTGGCTGATGGACGCTTGTCCAAGGCGTGATGATTTGGCGTCCTTCAAAATCTCATCCCGCAGGTTGTAGGACGCCCCGAACTTGAGGATAGAAGTCGCTGCCGCATCGATGGCAGAAGCATAGACGGGATTCGAGGTGAGAAGCTCACGTCCCATTCCGTACCATTGTGCTCCTTGGCCCGTGAAGACGAATCCGACTTGCGGTACCTTCTTAGAACGCAATGGAGCGAGGTCTGGCTTGTTGAGCTTTTCGATCAGGTTGCCCGCTGAGTCCGCCACATACGTAGCCTTCCATGGAAGTAAGGATCGTCGTTGGCCTAGAGTAAAGGCGAGGTCACTCAAGAGGTCATCATCTTTGTCGTCGAGGTGCGAGCTTAAATATTCCTTCAGTCTGATTGCTTGATGATCCAACGACGCTTTGTCATACGCTGCCAAGAGAAACAACCTAGCTGGCATTTCGGGTGCAGTATCAATCACCTCTTCTTTCAACACAGTGTTTGTATGGGGTTTCATTCCATTGGTATGTTCCTGAGAGCCATGGGCTTCGTTGTTGATCACCTCTTCTTTCAACACATTATCTGTGTGGGGTTCAATCCCACTGGTATGTTCCTGAGAGCCATGGGCTTCGTTGTTGATCACCTCTTCTTTCAACACATTATCTGTATGGAGTTCAGTTCCATTGGTATGTTCCTGAGAGCCAGGGGCTGCGCTGTTGATCGCTTCTTCTTTCAACCCACCCATTTTGTGGGGTTCAATTCTATTAGTTTCTTCCAACACACCATTTGTATGGGATTCAACTCCAATGGTATGTGCCTGAGAGCCATGGGGTTCACCGTTGGTCAGTTGTTTTAGGCGCTGTCTTCGAAGATACGGGCTCTCCTCCAAAATGACATGGGCGTTTGACCCTCCTAATAGAAATCAGTACTTGGCACGTCAGTAGATGAGGAAGGAGTTTCACCAAAACCAAAGTTGCTCACAGAGGCCCTGCGTACGGACGTCTCTGGCCAGGGAAGCGGTTGAGTAGCTACCACCAGGCTTTTGCCAAGTGCAGGAATATTGGGATTGGCTTTTACAAACCCAGAGTTGGGCAAGATGATTCCCCTCTCAAGCATCATCGCTGCTTTGATGATCGCCACGATTCCCGACGCTCCTTCTAGATGGCCGACATTGGTTTTGACGGAGCCAAGATAGAGGGGGTTTTCAATAGATCTATTTTTGCCAAGCACAGCTTCGATCACGCGTGTCTCAATAGGATCTCCGATGGCGGTTCCAGTGCCATGAGCCTCGACATAGGTAGTTTCAGCAGGATCCAGACCAACATTTTCGTAAGTCGCGCGAGCCAGGGCTGCTTGGGCTTCTTCGCTAGGCATTGTCATGCCATTGGTTCGACCATCCTGATTGATACCAGAATTACGCACCACCGCTCGAATAGGATCTCCGTCTCTAATCGCATCCTTGAGAGGCTTCAGGATAGCAATGCCGGCACCCTCGCCGGGGCCGTAGCCATCGGATCGATCGTCAAAAGCGAAGGACTTTCCTTCTGGCGAAAGTAGCCTGATATTAGACTTTGCGATGAGCAAGTCCGGTAGGAGGTTCAGATGCGAGCCGCCAACAATAGCTTGTTTGGATTCCCCGGTGCGTAAACTTTGGCACGCGAGGTGGAAGGCGGTCAAGCTCGACGAACAAGCAGTATCAGCGGTGAAGCAAGGCCCGCATAAATTGAAAAAGTATGATAGCCTTGCCGATAAGATTGCGTCCTGGTTTCCAGTCTCAAGAAAGGTGGGCATTGTTTCGGTATCTTTCATCATGAGCTTGCTATAGTCGGACTGAGAGCCTCCAACGAAAACCCCCACAGCCCGGCCAACTAGCGACTGGAAAGGAATGCCGGCGTTCTCCATCGCCTCATAAGCGCACTCCATCAGGAGACGCTGTTGCGGGTCCATCGACTTGGCTTCCTGGGCTGTAATACTGAAAAAGTGGGCATCGAAGCGTGAGAGATCTTCGGAAAGGAAGTGACCGCCTTTCGAGTACCACTATAAGGTGATTTAGGATCTTTTCAGATCGCAAGAGATGTCCAACTCACGCAATTTGTTTTGTCGGGATTTGGATGATAGAATGTCTCCTGCGAAAACCTATCCTTGGGAACCTCCGACCAAGTATTTCGAGCTTTGAGGCAGAGATCCCAGAACTTTCCCATGTTCGAAACATACTCCGGGAGGCGGCATGCCATTCCAACAATTGCAATCTGCATTGATCTCTCCTCTGGCGCATTCTGGGGGGACGATTCTCCATCGGCGGACGGGTAAGCATACCCATTGTCTAAATCCATGGGCATGATTAGGTCTGGCTTCTAAAAGCCTGAGTAAATGCAGCCCTCTGAGGACAAACTGGCAGATTACAAACGCTTAAAGGCAAGTCCGGGCTGGAAAAGGCCCCGTTTTCAACATCTTTCTGGTCGGTTTCCGTCTTTCTTTCTCTCTCTCTCAGATGAGTGTAAGGGGGGGAGCGATGATGAGCATTCAGGGTGGGAAGACTGGAAGCTAGAAAATGATGAGGAAAGACTTGCCGCAGGCTAGATGTAATCGCGTATTCGCAGCGAATAGGGCGACTGTCCGAGCTGGGCCGATATTCAGGTCACGAGCTAACAAACCATTGGGACGGAGTGGGTGGTCAGATCTTTCATGTTAGAACTCGGGGATATGGAATCGATCTGTGAGGTTCCAGAAACGCGCATGTGGTGATTGCGATGCCCTCCAACTTCATAGGGCGAGATGAGTGTGCCGAGTCATAGCCTGAACCACGCAACCACGGCGTGCCCCGGTATCTCCGTCTGTGTTGATATGGGATGTCCTTTTCCCCTCATTGGATGAAGTCAAGGTCGCATTCGCCTGCATGGCACTCAAAACAGCACTCAGATAGCTGCATCCAACAGCATCGGCTGGTGTCAGGGAGGATCAAAAGCAAGTCTGGTGCCGAGTCTATTACGTGTCCGATCCCAAGGCGCCCGATGTCTGGTACCGCGAGGATGGTATTGCTGTCCCTGGGGCCTACGTTAGGCATAAAAACAACACGGATGGCCATCATCCGGCCAGTGGTTGTAGGAGAGAAATATAAGGGCAATGCCGGGGCATATGTTAGAGGGTTTAGAGCATCAGGAGTGCTGTGGTCTCTACCTCCAGGTCGATGAGACATGAGCATCAACAAGACATTGCATCTACAGTGAGATGAGTGTAATTTTGTACTCTGTAACTTATACACCAACTCAGTGACATGTAAACAAGGATGCGTCATACGAGGGTGATCGACAACGTTTTGCCGGCGTTAGGTTACTTTGTGCTAGCTTGATCGAGTAAGGTCGCGCCTGCTAACCGGGATTGTTCTTGCTAGGCACGCGCGGGTAGCAAAAAAAAAGCCCGTACGCTCGTTAATGAATTTCTGAGTTACATGCTCCTCCCAGCCATCCACAATATAGTGGTTCGTAGTGTGGAGGGCCTCGCTTCTCCTAGCCGTTTGCGGGCTAGGGTGTATGGGCTTTTTTGCTACCCGCGTGCTAGGTAAACGAGAAAACTCCCGGTTGGAGGGTTCAGGCGCCAAAGATTTCATCCCGAGCCGCATCACTTTCCAAACATAAGACTCTTTCTTCTCCAAATATCTCAACTCTGCAGATCAACCTGAGACAACGTCAAGGCGCCCCCATGGGCCGGACTATTGATTGGGAGGCCTGGACTGGTCCAGACTAAAGCCATACACACACAACCTATGGTCTATATTGAAAGTCGGTACATTTGGGGCGCATCATGAAGCGCTCGACAGAACATACACAATCATTCAATAATGATCACGGGTTAAGGCTATAGCGTTGAAGACTGCCGAATGGTAAGTACTTCAATCCGAGTTTTGGCGGCACTTGGGAGAATCTTCATAATAATCATCGACAAGGGAAGGTTTTAGAGCGGTGGCGATGAAAGGTGTTGGACCTTGATGCAGGTAACCTATAATAATCCTGGGTGCTGGTGGCGCTTTATTAAACGCCAAATGTCTGGTAGACGTTGGAATAGGATGCTTGACTGTTCGGGAAGGTGATATCTACACGAAGCCGACTTTCCCGGACCTCCACCAACACCTCCTTCCCCCCAACCATCCACCCTCATTGCCAAAATATCATCTTCAGCATATGCACACATGTCCAATCAGCGGATGCATCTTGTATCATCAACATGCTCGTTGCTTAGTCGGAAGCCATCCACATTTCCAGTTTACCACCACACTCAATTAGTCAATCTGCATTTGCCATCACCATCAACATGTGTGCAAATGCGAAATCAAAGTGGATCATCAAAATGCTCATTGCTCGGCCATAAGCCAACCATATGTCCGCATTCACCACGTTCGATAATGGCATTCTGTGCATCTTATTACGGACCCCCCTCTCCTGGCACTGCTCGCGTGGACACCCTTTCTTTCCTTCGCGCTTATCTCGCAATCCTTTCTTCAATACGTTCCAAAACTCACGTCGGGAAGACACGACTTCGGGTAACTTTGGGTATCTTTTTCCTCATATCAAACACTCAGCAACGCTCTAGAACGTTCCTAAACTCCCATCGAGAAGTCACTGCTTGAAGAAACCTTCTCCTCAAACCCAACACTTAGAAAAATTCTAGAAGGTTCTTAAAGTCCTATCAAGAAGTCACTGCTCCGAAAAACCTCTTCCTTACACCCAACACTGAACAACGCTCGAAAACGTTCCCAAAGTTCCATCGAGAAGGGGGAAGAGAAGTCGACGGCTTCGAAAAGATGAAGTTCCTATGTATCCACGGCGCATGCTGCAATCCGGATGTAAGCAGTTGCTGCCACACAGTCACAAAAGATGTCCAGGCATATTAGCTAACTCGAACCTCGCAGACAATGAAATGGTCCATAAGTGCGTCCATCCACCCCGCTTGTCCCCATAGGGCGTAGTGGAAGGTCCACCTCCAACACTCACCTAACCCAGATCGACTCCTGAGACAGCTCTCGGACGATGAGAACATCACCTTCCACTTCGCCAAAGGATACCTCGACTCCCCGCCCCCACCCTGGCTCGCAGAACAGCTCGAAGGCCCCCCGCACCTCCGATTCTTCCAATGGGACTCCGCCTTCCTCGACATCGGCTACGACCGCCACGTGGAAAAACACGGCGTCCCCGATCTGAAAAACATCCGAGACACCGACGTGGAGGAAGCGAAGCGCGACCTCGCGCCCATCTACGAAGACCTGGACATCGCCCCCGAGCCCTGGAGCGTCAGCGTCGCCCTCGAATACCTGCACAACATCATCGAAGACGAGGGGCCCTTCCACGGCGTCATCGGCGTGTCCGAAGGCGCCGCCGTCGCCGCGACCCTGCTCGTCGAGGACCTCCAGTCCCGCGCCGCCGGCGGGACGAGGAGCGATCTCCGCTGCGGCCTCTTCTACATCGGCGCGCCCGCCATGTCCGCGGACGGCACACGCGCCGTCCTGTACGAAGAGGACGGCCAGGTCGTCAACGTGCCCACGTGCCACGTCATGGGTGTGAAGGACATGTTCCGGGTCTTCGCGGAGCCGTTGCTCAAGATCTGCGACCCGGACAAGGCCCTCGTCATCAATGACCCCGGCGGCCATCGCATCCCGCAGGACGTGGAGACCAATGACTTGATCGCGGAGTGGATCAGGCAGCAGCAGCGGGAGTTTGTAAAGGAGCAGCGAGACGGAGCCGCTGCCCTTGGTTCCGCATAGGAGTAAAGCGATAGAGTGGAGCCGAGGGAGAGATGGGAACGTTTTAATATGTTCGTAGCGGGTAGACGATGGCGAGTTGAAGACGATGTAAATGTTCTATGGATACCAGACTTCAGAAAAACATCACTCCGCCAATCAAGCAAATCGTGCCGTGGTGCCTATGCCTGCTATCAAGCCCTTGCTGCGGGGTGCGGTGTTGCAATAAAGGCAGAGGCGTTAGTGTATGCCAGTACGAGTACCCCCAAATCTTGCACGCCAGGGCCCTGGGGGGACTGTTCGAGTTGCGGATTTGGCCCAGGTGGCCCCTAGTAGAGTAACTGGACTTGCCCCCTCCGGTGCGGAAAACTTCCGCTATGAGTAGCTGGTATATGCGCAGTTCGGCTCTGGGAGCCGGGGACTCCCCTATTTTATACTTAGGCGCTCCTCGAATTGCCGATGCTTTTAATCTTACTGATAATTACTATCGCTGATAAGTTATTATAGTTTCTATAGTAAATATTTACGTTATAAGTATATTTAAAACTTAATAGTTTATTTAATTATTAATATTAATATTATAGTAACTATTAAGAAATTATTATAATTTAACTTATATATATATATAATATAAAAGATATTAATTATCTATATAATCTATAGAGTAGATATATACGATATTAAGTCTACGCTAGTAATTCTATAAGTATTTCTAAGATATCTTATAATAATTATCTATAAAAAATAGAGAAATACTATATTCTTATAATAAGAAGTATATATATATAAATAAGTTTTCGAAATACTAGAAAGAAATAAAGATATCGAGCTAATTAGTAGTATAAATCTTATCTATCGTAGTAAAATCTTTTAAATAATATCGAAGTAAGATATCGAACGATTTTAATTCGTTTAAATATATATTATTCGATCTTTCTTTTAATCTTTCTTTTATAGAAATCTAATTAGCTATAATCGACGTAGTAGATTCTTCTCTTATATACTTATTATAATAATATATTATATTAATATAGTAAGAATAATAGACTAAATTATAGTAATATTCTTCGCTTATTAAGTAATAATTTAATATAAGATCGTAAAGAGCTAAGTCGTATTCTTAATACTAATAGTCTTACTATCGCTTAATTTCTTCGTAATATTCTTCGTATTTTTCTACTATAGTATTCTTTTCTCTTACTTTAACTAAGTAAGTAAGATTAATAATATTTAATAAGCTAACTAAGTAACTAACTAAACAACTTATAGAGATCTTCTTTTATATTACTAACGTCGAGTTTTCTAATTTTAATTCTTCTTTTTCTACTATATTATACGTATAAATAGATATTTCGATAATCGAGTAGCGTGAAAATTAAATAAACTATCGTTACTATTTTAGTTATAAAGATTAAGATCGTATAGTAAATATATAATAAGATTCGAAGATAAAAAAGTAGAATCGTATTCTCGATGAAAGCTAGTATAGACTATAATAGAGATATTTAAATATATATATAGCTATAATATAAATAAGACGAGTCTCTTAGCGTATAAACTTATAATAATATTAATAGATCTAGTAAAAGAATTAATAAGACGAGGTTTTAATTAAATAGTACTCGATAATTAATAAGTATATATGAGAGTCGACTTAAAGCGTTATATTATTAAATATTAATATAAACTTTATATAAACGTATAATATAGACGTAGCTTATAGAGACGTCTACTATATTATAAAATTAAGTAAAATTAAATCTTAAGATATTACTATTAATTATTAAAAATTTATTATAATTTAACTTATATATATATATAATATAAAAGATATTAATTATCTATATAATCTATAGAATAAATATATACGATATTAAGTCTACGCTAGTAACTCTATAAGTATTTCTAAGATATCTTATAATAGTAACTATATTAATATATACGAGTAAAGATCTATAAAATAAATTTATAATTTTTTTTTTTTTAATTAGAGCTATCGAGTAAATTTAATAAGCGAACTTTTAATAGACGATATTTAAATTCTTTGCCTTTAAATTTTTATATAACTAAATTTAATAATTCTTTTCTTATTTATAAGCCTATATTATATTCTATAATTTAAAAGAAAAATATTAAAATTATAATAGAAAATAAAAAAGTTATTCTTAAATTAAATAATATATACCTATTTTTTGATTAGGGCTGTCGAACGAACTTTGATAAGCGATATTCGAACTCCTTACGCTTTGATTATTATAAAACTAAATTTAGAAATTATTTTTTTATCTGAAAGCCCATATTTCGTTCTATAATTTAAAAAAATAATCTCAAAATTTTAATAGAAAATAAAAAAGTTATTCTATATGTTAATAACGTACACCTATTTTTTTAATAAGAGAGGGCGAGATTTTAATAATTGCGAACGCTAATTTATTTATCCGCGATAACTTAGTCGATCTAATTAAAGAGCGTAGCGAATCTAAATTTATAATTAACTATATATATAAATTCAAGATTTTTAAGCTTAGCTCTATCTTATTCTTTTATATATATTAATAATAGAATAAGATAGAGCTAAGATATAAAATCTTAAATTTATATATATAATTAATTATAAATTTAAATTCGCTACGCTTTTTAATTAAATCGACTAAGTTATCGCGAATAAATAAATTAATATTTATAGTTATTAAAATCTTTTATTTAATCTTTAATTCTTTAATAACTTTATTATTTTCTATTAAATTTAAATTTTTTTTTAATTATAGCCCGTAGCTTACGCTTTTTAATAATAAAAAAATAAAAGAATTTAGTCTTATAATTATTAAAGCGTAAGAAATTTCAATATCGCTTATAGAAGTTCGCTCGATAGCTCTAATTAAAAAATAGATATAATTTATTTAATTTTAGAATAACTTTTTTATTTTCTATTAAGATTTTAAGATTTTTTTAAATTATAGAATTAAATATAGGCTTTTAAATAAAAAAGAATTATTAAATTAAGTATTATAAATATTTAAAAGTAGAGAATTTAAATATTTCTTATTTAAAACTTATCTATTTTAATAAGAATACTCTTTTATATAAGTTTAAATACTTAAGTAATAATAACTTTAATAAAATTCGAATTTATTAATCTCCCTCGTTAAAAAATAATAAAACTAATAAGTTTTTTATAAATTATAAAAATAGTAATAATAGTAATTAAAATAAAAAAATTATAATAGATATTAAAATTAACTTCTTATTAAATTAATTTAAATTAATTTAAAGTTAATTAATTTTCTAGAAATCTATTATTAATATAACTTCTCTTTTTTCTATTAAAGTTTTACTACTTTTTTTAATTATAGAACTTAATCTACGCTTTCTAATAATTTAAAAATTTAAAAATTTAATCTTATAATTCTAAGTAAATCTTAAATTCAAATATTTTCACTCTTCGAAGTTCGAGAATCGAGTTTAATCTCGATATCAGATTTAAAAATAAATTACTTTCTATGAATTTAGTTTATAGGCCTAAACTTATTATTAATAATAAGTTTAGACCTAGATATTCGCGAATATAAATTACGCGATAATATAATATATCTTAATAATAATAATAATAATAATAATAATAATTAGTTTTAATAATAATAAATAATAAATTATTAATAATAGATTTTATATAAGTAATTACTTTACGATATTTAATAAAAGTATAATAAGAGTATATATATTACGTAGTCTTTAAAGTTTATAAATTAATATTTTAATATTTAAAAGTAATATTTAATATTTTAAAAAAGATATAAATAATATTATATTAATATATAGCTAATATAGAAAAAACTCTTTCTCTTATATTCTCTCTAGAGTTTAAAGAATTTTAAGAATTTTTTTAAATATCTATAATTTAGATATAGTATAAATTTAAAAATAAATTCTCGAAGAAAGAAGATAATATTATTTAAGATTTTTAAAGAAAGCTCGACTATTAGACGAAGTCGTAATAAAATTAAGATTTTTAATATATATAGATTTAGTATAAAAGCTTAAAAGAGCGATATCTCTTATTTTTCTTTTTACTTCTATAAGAATTAATCTTACTACGAGATTTATATATAAATATATATATATCTATTATTATATTTATATTACTATATAAGTTTAAGTCTATAAATTAAATTTATAAAAAGTAATTAATTTTTAAATCTAATTTCGAGATTGAATTCCACTCTCGAAGAGTGAATTTTTTTTAATTTAAGATTTACTTAGAATTATAAGATCGAATTTAATATAAATTATTTAAAAGTATAAGTTATATTCTATTATTTAAAAAAAATTAAAAAGATTTTAATAGTAAAAAGAGAAGTTATATAATTAATAAGTTTTTAAAAAATTAATTAACTTTAAATTAATTTAAATTTAATTAATAAGAAATTAATTTTAATATTAATAATAGTTCTTTTATATTAATTATTATTATTATTATTTTTATAATTTATAAAATAATTATTAATTTTTCGAACTTTACGAATTTTATAATTTTACGATTTTGCATTTTTACGATTTTTTAGAGAGAGAGATTTATAGATTTAAATCGAGAACGGAGCGAAATAGTTTCGAATTTTATTTAAATTATTATTACTCGACTATCTAAGTTTATATAAAAGAGTATTTTTAATAAAATAAATAAGTTTTTAATAAGCGATATTTAAATTCTCTATCTTTAAACATTTATAAGATTAAATTTAGAAATTTCTTTTTTATTTAAAAACCTATATTTTATTTTATAATTTAAAAAAAAGTCTTAAAATTCTACGCTGCGCAACGGGGCGGGGGACCTCGACGGGGTTTCGGGGGGGGTCGGGGTCGGGGTGGGGTTTCGGGTCGGGGTTTCGAGTTTCCTCGAAACCCCGACCCCACCCCGACCCGAGAGCGAGATTTCGAGGTATTCGATAAACGCCGACGCCGAGATAATAAATTTAATCGAGATTCTTCTCTTATATTTAATAGCTTCTTTATTTTAATTATTAAAT